GAGAGAGAGAGAGAGAGAGAGAGAGAGAGAGAGAGAGAGAGAGAGAGGGAGAGAGTCTCCCTCTCGTGGCATCCAGTCTGTCTCTGTCCTCTGGTCCCCAGTAATGTGGTTAAGGGACGAATATTTGCCTCTTACACAAAAGGTACGAGCAAATGCAGCACACACCTCCTTTGACCTTTTATCATCTGCCCTCCCTCCCGCCTCCTCCGGGAGGAGGAGGAGGAGGAGTGGGTCGATACCTATTTGCAATGCATTAGACGCAGCGCCGTCTTTTTAGATTGAAAAAGTTGGCGCTTTCTCAGTTTGGCGCCTTGCAGGCAAACCGCAGCAACAAGACATCGGTGACATCACATTTATTTGTCTGGTACGCGCTTTTAAAAAAGAATAAATTCAGATTTATTCTAATGCTCAATTAAAGATGTTGGATCAAGCTAAGAAATGGAGAGATCCGCAGTCCCTGTCACTGTAAATATACATTGTCTGTGTATATTTTAGGACCATAGAGACAGAACGTCACCTGATGCATGCGCTACATAAAACTTTACTTTTTCAATCTGGGCTTTGAACCCCCTAAGAGGTCAAAAGATTAAAAAATCTGACGGGTCATGAAATGGTTAATACAATGAGAAGGAAATTATGTTTGAGATGGAACCTTCCCTTTTGATTAACAATTGTTTTTGGCCACAAGGATGCAGTGGAACAAGCTGTAAACACAACACTGGCATAAACGTTTAAGTCGGTGGCGACCTGGTTAGCAAACAGTTGCTCATTTCTGCACCGAGCACTTAAAGAGCAACGTTGTCATTCATTTGGAGTCTGATGAATGCGAGTCCCGTATTCACTCCCTTTATCTCCGTCTATTCCCGAGAGAGGCGTGCTGCTAAATACTCCGCTATGTTCACCAGCTAGTTAACTTTGTCTGTCTGCTGTTTGGTACAAACAGTTCCTTGATAGTTTGGGCAAAATCCTTGTGGGGAGATTGTTCTGTTTTTCATTGTGAAACTCGGGGGTTTGAGGACTCTAAACTAAGTGACAAATGAAAATCAACTCTGAGAAAGGATCGTCAATCCTCCCGGCTCACAGACGGTCACATGCAGTCTGTGACGAGGCGTCCTGAGAAGGTGTTGTTTGGCAATTAAGAGTAACGAGCCAAAAAGGACCAATGAGCTTTGTTCTGAGGGACAAACCTTATACAAATATGGCAATTCATACAATTTGATATTTGTAATCGCTGAATTCAAGTAAACACAGTTTTAAGCTGCTAAATTATACCAATAATTATTAAATATGAATAGCTTCAACATTTCAGAGAGAAAAAGTCTCCCGGCCAACAAGTGTTGTATGTGCCATGTTGACATTTTCCCTCATTTTTTCTGTGTAGATAAGACAGCCTTTATATCTTATTGATCTCAGCTTCAGACAGGATTAGATCAACAAGAAACTACTTCCTCACTCGATTATATTTGGTTGGTGACTTTTTAATTATCTATATTTTGGGTCGCTCTCTCTGTTCACATGGTCGCCGTCTAAACACGGCATACGTTACTGCTCAAACCATCTTCTAAGTGCATTAGAATAAACAATACAATATAGAAAAATACTAGTTTATGTAATGAATACATAAACAACTTTAAACAGATATGAATACAACAAACTTCACTTACATTACCTTTTGAAGTGATTTCCTGCTTGTACCAAACTTCTGCCTTCTGTTCTGGTTTTTAAGAATGAGTTCAAAGATTTCCCTCGTTTCCTCCCAGCTAACTGCTGATGTTTTGAAACTTGAATGTGAAACTGCAGCTTGTTTTTGATTTTCATAATATGAGGAAGTGAGCATGGAAACTTTGGGATTTGCCAGCGCTAGCTTGTTTTCATCATTATCTCTTTGTACAGCATAGCTATGAATGCTTAAAGACCTGTTGAGTTTATTCTTTCCCTTTTTATTTTTATATTGCTGAGCTTAATCTTCTTCTTAATAAATGCCCTCCATTTACACGACACTTTAATACAACACATGTTTATTAAACTACTATACAAACCATTTTGCCCTGCATATGTAAATACGCAGGGACTATATGTAATGCAGACCTATCTATTCATTTTAGATCTGTGCTGAGAGTCGTCGGGTGGTTCAGTTTACCGCCCCCCACCCGGCCTGCGATCGAAACCTGCCCGAGCTCCTGACTCCCCCCTGACTCCCCCCTGACTCGCCGCTCTGCTGTCTCAACAATTAAATCAAAGTGAGTGGACTGCCCACTCTTTTTCTTTTCTATGAAAAATAGATAAAAGCATCAGCTGGTATGATGGTCCTCTTCATGACCCAAAACACTAATGAGTTGTCTTATTACAAAATATTTCACCTGTGTATCAGCAGTTGCCATGGAGATTTTGTGCAGCTACGTGAAGCTCTGCTTAATGGTCTGACCTTAACCTTGCACTTTCTCCACTGAACGCGTTCGCGACGTTGCAAACACACGGACATACTTCATACCGCGAATCAATATTTCAACAGCAGCCTATTCTCTTACCTCTGCTACAAACACATTAGACAGCCCTTTTATTATTGATGCATCCCCAAAACTTGTGCTTTGATTCACATATTTTCTTCATATCTTTATTGAATCTTGTGTATTTCTTGAGCTGGTTTCCAAGTGGTCCATAGCCTTGAACAACCGTTTACAAACCTTCCCCCTCCCCCATCTGCATTTCTCCCCCCTTTTTCCCCTCTCTCTCGCTCTCTCCCTCCCTCTCCCTGCAAGCTGTGTCTCTTTCCTGTATGCTGGGGGGCCAGCGGAGGGGAAGTACACGGAGAAAGAAAAGCACTCAGAGTTCAAGTGCACGAGCTTAAAGACACAGCTGGCTTCAACAAAGGGGGAATATGACAAGGGGGAAACAGTCGGCGAACGGCAGAATAACGACGTATTGATAAAGCGGTTGTGAACATGGAGACAGTATGGGGATCATTTCACAATAAGCGGGGGGTTAGAAAGAAATGTGAATAGGAAAATGGAGAAAAATGTCTCCTCCCCCTTTTTGTCTCTCCATGTATACTCCTCCTATTCCCTCGCAGCTTCCTTCAATCTCTGTCCCTCCCTCTCTCCTTCATTCCTACCCTGCATGCATGCACACTCTCTAACGCACACACACACACACACGCACACACAGAAACGCACACGGTGACTGATGCCTTCTCTTGCATTCTCCGTTTTCTCACCTCTCCCTGCACCACTGAGACTTTTTGTGTGTTTGTCTTTCCTGTATAGCGCATGGTGGAGCGGGTTCTGCACAGTTCCAGCGCGACGTCGTGAGGAAAAGTACCAATACTGTACTTTTCTTCCAACCGTTGATCTCCTTTGTCCACAAGGCATGTTTCCCTTCAAAGTCCTGAGCGTGGAAGGGTGAAGAAAAGAGAAATGGTGTCTGAGGGAGAGGAGATGAGGCAACAACGGATCAAATTTGACGAGACTGGAGTGAAATAGAGATGCAAGGCTGCATGTCAGGAAGGCAAACACTAACTCCAGAGTGAAGAAGAGGGGACGAGGAGGAGGAATCAAGTTGGAATCGAGAAGGAAACGCGGGAAAAGGTAAAAAAAAAAAAAAAGGGGTGACCTATACAACATAATTCTCAAGCATTGTGTAATTTCCATCCTTGAGCTGTTAGAAAAGTATTCACCCCCACACATTATTTCTGTCTTGTTTTCGCTGCCTCTTGATTTCTATGTTCGGCTCTGATGGTTTGTTGGTTTGTGTACCTAAAGTAATTTTCCTTCCTCCCTCTCTCCGTCTCCACGCTTCTCACATAACCCTGCCGTGCCTTTTATCTCCTGCAGTTGCTTGACATAATGTGTGTATTTGCTGAAAGACCTTCAGGCTGCTTTCGGGGCCCAGTTGTGCTATTATTCTGTGTCGCTCACGGCCTTCACAAATCGTTACACATATTCTGTTAGGGAGTGAATGTTTTTCTTGGCCTAGCTTTTGGTGCCGAGTTTCAGCTGATATGAAACCGTTGAAAAGATGACATAGTATTTGAATTATTTGGCCGTCATCCTCCCTACTCTGGAATGGACACGTCCCACCCTCTCCTTCCCCTCACTGTTTGTTTGTGGTCTCAGTACGTGTCCTTCAGCTCTCTGTCTCTCAGCGTCCACGAACACCTAACTTACTTCTCCGAATATGCTTTGTGCCAAAGCTTCTCTCACTCCATCCTCGCCGTCCTGTTGTTCTTAGCTTTGCCTCCATTGTTTAATATCGACGAGTTACTGTTGTCCCCCGCACGTGCGATTGAGGACCTGTGATTTATTCTCTGTCTATTCATGCTCTTAACAAGCCGTTTCCATCTCCATGGAGACCTGATACGAGCGCTCGGTGTCTGTACGTCTGCCTGCATGCAAACAAACTCGCAAAGACAGCCCGGTTATCTCTCCAACAGGGTGCGCCTTTTGGCAAAGGGCAGAAATTTGGATCAGAGAGTGACTGCGGGATGATGGTAGTCTTGATTGTTACGTCTGATTGCAGGTTTAACTGGTGGCTTAACGCTGGAACCAAAGTCTCCGTAAGACGATCTTGATTATTGGGAGCTGGTTTGCGTCCATAGACCAGATTTAGCAAAGGCCGGTTTGCACAGAAAGACAGTTGAACGAACAAACGTATTTGTTTTTGGTGGACCTTGTTGGAAGATTAATTAACTGAGCAAGTAATTACAAACAGGTTTGTCAAACACAGACTATGTTCTTATCCATGGCCAAATACAGAGATGCTCTGTTGCACATTGGGCCCTTATTCATGTGCACACATGTTATCTAGACTTGAGTTAACGTGGAGACTTAAAGTTAAAAGATGAACTTGGATAATGAAATCGCATAAAGCAGTTCAATTCAAGTTACTCCTCATTGATTTCTGATGCTGTTCAGGACGAGATATTCCACCTCAGTCTCAATGTGGATTAATCTTTACAATAGCAGAGAAAGTGCATGTTGTATTTTAAATACTGTTTTGGCCAAAATAAACAGTTTTCATTATCAATTGGTCCAAATATTGTATTGATTGATCGATTGAAAATGCTTATTTTATTTAACCAACAGTATAAAACCCAAAGATAGTCAATTTACTATCACAGTAATGGGTAAACCAGAAATTGTTCATTTGAGAAGTCAGGAGCTCTGAATTCTTTGCACTTTTGCTAAAGAAACGGCTTTATCTGTTAATCGATTATCAGTATATTTACTGATTTTATTTCTGTCAATTGACCAATTGTTTTAGCTCCGATAAACTCGCATTCATGCAGGATGACTGTACCGCACTGACCTTGACGCCCGAGTCAGTGAGTGGTGTGATGGTGTCCAGCAGCGGGAGCTCGATGTGGCGCTTCGGCCTGCACAATTGAGAGCGTAGTTGGTACCGTTGTGTTCCACCACGCTCATCCAGTTCAGCAGTTTAGAGGCTGTCTGTTTGTCTCCTGTGGCCCAAATACACATAAAGACCGCTGACACTGTCTTTAGGTGTCAAACCACTTCTTTAGAAACTTATATACAGAAGTTGTGTTCAGTTGTGTGCTGTTAAATCCTTAAACCTTATGGTTATTTGGATGTTATCTTGCGCTAATGACAAATTCCTTAATGGGACAAACCTAAAATTGAAGAGCAATGTCATACGCCATCTTTTTACTTTGCTGTGTTTTGCACGTTTCACAAATCAAATATGGAGCTTCTTTATTTTTTTGTATTCAATTTTCACAAACAAGTTGAAAACGGACAATAAGAACCCTTTTTAGGGACTAGTTATGGCATTAAGACCATCTGTCATATTATATTAACACTTAAAGCGTACAAGTATTTGAAGCATTCAGTACGTTTTCAATGAACAGCTTCTCTATAACAATACTGAATACTTGGGCAGAAATAATGGATTACACTGGCTTATTGTACTGACAACGAATGTGTCGGTTATTTAAAGCCTCTTCACTTACTGATCCCAGCACATCTAAAGTTTAGAGTGCGGAGGAAGCCATTAATGTGTTTCACTTTATAAAACATAACTCTGCCTTCGCTATCAATTATGTAGCTCGGGTGTGAAAGAGATGGCAAAAGGGCCACACACACACACACACACACCAGGCAGCAGGGTCCCGCGCGGAGAGAAAGCGCTGCACCATGTGACCGCTGTGGATGTACCAACGCTCTCTCAGTCTCAGCGAGAGCTATTCTCCCCGGACTCGGTGTTCTAGTTGCATCAGTGTTTGTCGGCCTTCTCTAGGACATGCGGGCTGAAATGGGGCTGAAGTTGAGAGAGCTCCATCTGGATACCCACAAGGTATAGGGCCTTTCTACTATAAGCAAGGTACAGATAATATTTCTCATGTCGCACGGAGCACAACGTTTTACCATCTCTGACTGATGTGAAGTTCTTGTACATTGTTCCAGTTGCAGGAAGTCTTGATATTATTGTCATTTGCTACACGACGGTGTTGATGTAGTGAGATCATTTATTACTGCAGATGCTTTTTTTCTCTATTGAGGAATAGAATTGTATAAAATGTGTCGTATACTTTTTGCTCCTCTGCATTTATCTGACAGCTGTAGGTACTAATTACTTGCATATGATGATCTTGTAAAATATGACTCATTATTTTAGATTAAACTACCCAAAGGTACATAAAATACTTAAAATTAGCTCCATTTCGACCAACTAAATCAACATGCTCCTTTCATATTAATTCATAAACAATAATATTTATCCAATAATATAACAAAAGTGTCATTTTACTTTTGAATCTTCTGGCATATTTTGTTACTCATACTTCAATACTGGTAAAATATTGAATGAATAAAAGGTATTGCGACTTTTGTGGAAGATCTAACTACTACTACCATTACTGATGAATAATATCTTGTTGCTGTTATTTAACACACCTGTACTAATGCTCTTTATGTACTACACACAGCCCTTGGACAACACTTGTATTAGGATTATTATATTGGGGTATACCATATTTTGGTATCAGCATATACAGTATGTCAGCCAATGAGTAACGCAAAACTGCAGTATAGAAATGCCAAAAATATGTTTGAGGTCGTTTAGAAACGGTGTCACTATTACATAAATGATCCACTAGATTACTGTTTATTCAAGTAAATTTTTTCAACTGTAAAATTCCCCGCTCAGTTCATGGTCCCAATTCTTTAAAAATTTAAAAATATCTGTTCATATTATGCGTTTTATGTGAAAAGAATTAGCTGAAATGTCTGTTAAGTTTAACTTTCAGTATTAACCTCAAAACTTCTAGGGGCTGAGACTTACTACATACAGAAACGACAATGTCCCCTTGTGACCAAATACAATTGAAGCTAAAAATATCTAAAAAATGAATTAATTTGAAAGAATTCAGTATCAGTTGAGCGGTAACTTGAACTTGATTCACCAAACAAACAGGTTTTCATTTACTGAACTTTGGTTATAAATGGATATAATGCACTTTTTACACTGAAGTAAATGTCCATATTTCTCTCAGATCACATACTTGTGAATAATTCCACACAGTTTATAGCTACAGTATGTTCATTTTCATGTACATTTCTGCATCTAATCAGTCTAAAAACCACACTAGACCCACAAAATCTTTTTTGCCTCAATAATATTCTCTCTTCAGTCAATTATTGACCAAGATTTCGATGCAAATCACAAACTTTAAACGGCAGCAAGAGGGCACTTGTTTCAGCTCCATTGCGTGGATATTTAGCTTTTCTTAACTTAATACTCTGGTTCAGCATAAAGGAATGGTCAACTGCTTAGTTGTCGATCATGAAATCAGGATCCTCCCTTCCACTGCAGTGTTAGAATTTCTTCCAGTAACCGAGTTGATATCAATGAATAGTTTCCTCATGGAGGGCCCAGGTGGCTGCCTCGTGCATTCAGAAGAAAGCAGAGGTGGTGAGGTGGGGGTTAACATTTTCAGGCTGTAGGAATGTGTTTGGAGTCAGCAGTGAGAATTCCTCCATTGTGCATTAGTAGGTCTCAGTGTTGCCTCTTACCTCGCCAAACTATCTCGTTCCCCTCTTTTCCTCACGTCTGTCTCTTCCGCCTCCCTCTACATTTGATCTCCATCTTTATCACCACGTTCCTTCTTTCCGTCTCGTCTTTTTCTGCTATGTTCTGTCTGGAGTTTTGATCTTCTCCATCTTCCCTCTCCTTTCAGGCTCCTTTTTAGATGTCTCGGACATCTTGAGAGCTTCAGGAGTTTGGGGTTGGGTAAAAAGAGATAGATGGTGACACTGCTATATGTGATAGTTCTAGCACAGCTCTCTCTCTCTCCTGCTGGTATTGTGTCCTCTTAAGTATGTCAGTCATGTATGATTTATGGAGCAGGTTCCTGAGGAATGAGCCTTGTTGATGTCATCACATCGTCTGTTCATAGCTTCTCATGAGGACCATGACTGTGGACCAGGGCATAGTCTCCACCCACACAATCACACTGTCTTCAGTGTCAAATCAGATGTTGGGGTTGTCACTTAGCTGTCTTGCTCTGTTAAATAGAACAAGAGTCACAGACGGAAAACGTTTTTGAAATATCTCGATGCAAAGAACGATGAATATCTCAATTGAATATGAAACGGCTGGTCTTGAAGCCATATAGATCAACGTTTTTGAGGAATGCACAAAATGTCTTTTCAAGAGTTAAATGTGAAGATCGATACCACTCTGTGTGTTAATCATAACACTGTAGTCGGTTAGCTTAGAACTCATCAAACTTAATTAGTGAACTTTTTCGAACTGTTTCCACAAACTTAAGGTTTTGTACGGTTTGTCAGACAAAAAAAGTAATTTGACAATGTTCTGAACTAATGATGGGCATTTTTTTACAATTTCTTTTCATTTTTTAAAGCTTGAATATTTCAGTTATTTGAATAAATAATTGATTTATTGAATAGGAAATATAAACACTCATTTGTTATAGCCCTAAAACATGTACGAGTTTCAAGATAGTCGTTTTTAGTGTCACTACGTCTCCTCTGTCGACATATGGATGGCATTCACAAGGCTTTCCATTATGCTTTGCGGCAATACAAACGCTCTGCAGTCACGCCGGAGGTGTCAGCTGGCCGCGTCACACCACGACACCCTCAAGTGTGCCAGACAGAAGAAGAGGTGGGTACGGTGTGAAGAAAGAGGGGAAAGAAAGATGAAGGCGTAAAGAAACAGACCGTCTGCGAGGAAGAGACAAGTGGGTGAAAAAGCAAAAGAGAGAGCAAGCGTCTTGAAGGAGGAGGAGAAGGGTTTGATGCTGGAGCAATGTGAGGACTAGAATAAAGGAAGGTGAAAGAGAGGAGGAATCGTTTGTGTTCATTGTCTGTCTGCTCAGTGAATCATTAGAAAATGAACCCTTGTGGTTCAGGGCACCAACAGTCACACCAACTCCTAAGCAATGAAAAATCTGTCTGTCTGATGGCCTGTTTCAACTGGTTAAAGTGATATAAACATTACACACCAGTATGTAAGATAGCACAGCAAAACAGACTTTTCCAAGTCAATGATTCAGAAGTCAACGGTGGAAGTAAAACTTGCCGTTACTGGCTGTTCTTTGGTCAGTGTGAGTCGTCGGGGGGGCACATCTGTAAGATGAAAGGAGAGGCTGCGGTTGGTTGCTTCCACAGAGGGACGGAAAGGTCAGGAAGTGGCCCCAGCTCAAACACCAGACTCATTGTTCAAGTTCAAGGTAACACTGAATGGGGTTTTCATTCAGTTAGCTTGACCTTCTGTCCTCTGACAAGTTGCTGTTTTTAAATGGGGCATAATTAAACACTGCCTGTGGCAACGTCTGACGTTGGGTGTCGTGCTGTTATAATTGAAAACTAATTGTCAGTTTTATTTATTTAATTAGGGTTTCTTGTTGTGGATTGGGCAGGACATTGGTGGTTGTTTGAATTAGCTAGCTTAAGTTTCTTTTAAGATATTGTGTACATGTGCTCACACGTGGCCGGTCCTCAGGTGTATCCAGTCTCTTCTCTCTCTGACAATGAACAAGGTCACAGCCAGAGGGTCAGATGTCATGCCAGCGTTTCCCCTCCTCCTCCTCTAGCAGCCTCCCTCCTTCTCTGTTGTCTGTTCGGTCATCAGCTCCTCATTAACTCCTCACAGGGGATTTCCTGTTAGCCTCCTTTGCTTCCCTGTTCCTGTTGAAACTGGAACAGCATATTGGCTCTTTTTACAAAACATGAATAATTAAATCTTTCATGGATGTTCCCCTGAATATGCAAACTAACTGCCTAAAAGTTAGGAACTAGGAAAGGAAAGAGGTAGTCTCAGCACGACTGAACTAGCTACAGTGCCAAACCTTTGGGAAGTTTAGGACCGTAATTGATGACTTTGTGCTCTCATTGAGTATGGTGTAACACACGCATACGCACACAAACGCATAATTCACAGTCTGACTCACCCCCTTTAACAGAAAGTCAATAACAATACAGGGATGATTAATCAGTCCCTCTAGTGGCCCCTCCCTCTCTACTCACCACCTTCCACTCTCCCTTCTCAACCCCACTCACCCTCTCTCAGCTTAGTATTGATCTGAATGCATTTGCTTCCCAATTACCCGTTAGCCCCCCTCCCCCATCACGTAAACACTGCCACTGCATCGAGCGGTCACAAAGAACCTTTTACACAGGAGTGTCTCCCGTGCACACGGACGACGCGCACTTGCGTGCACGTGCAGCAACAGCAAGCGCACATCGGCGTGCACGCCACCTGATACTCTGACTTAACTGCATTGCGTGGAGGGATTTGGCTTGATTATTCTGGAGTGCAAATTAGGAGGGTCCTTTTCAAAGTGCAGGTGCACAATGTGTGCTTATATGCGTTTGTATGTTGTACACACTTTAGCCTAAACACAAGGCGGCTTTCTCAAAGGTTTAACTGACAGCTCATTGGACCCCCCCCCCGCTATCCCCCTCACCATTCTAGTTGGTGGCACACACGTTGCCATGACACCAGACTGTTTTGTCTGCCCTTTGACCTCTTTAAGGGGTGCTGTGGTCGATCAGGCATTACATGCGAGCGGCAAATAGAAGGGAGGCGAGGGAGGGGGGATGCATTTCCTCTGTAAAAAATTGGGTCCAAAAGGTTCCTCTATACATCCGCTTTGTACCGAGCAGAAGGTGGGGAGCCTCCGAGAGGCTCGCAGTGAAACAAAGACACATGTGCACATACAGACATGGCAGCGCTTTGCAAGGGTAAATGAACTAGGCTGGAGCTCCCAGGGGGTGGGGAGTTATTATGCTCATTGTGCAGTCGGCCAGCTAAAGCTGTTTGGCTGCTTCTTTTGAAGTTATATTTATCAAACCGGAGCAGGAGGCTTAGCTCTCCAAGCTGGTGCATCGCTTTGTCCACACTGCAGAACGCATGTGTGCATCGAGATTGCTTTCAGATAGATCAAAAGATTTAAACACTCTCAAATGTTTATCCAAGCAATTTCAGGCAGACAAAATAAGCATGAAACAGAATCTGTTACTGTCTGCCACCAGTAATGTCCGTCCTTGATACCTTCAAGCAGTGGAACACTGGAATTATATCATCCAATAGAGAAAGAAACGGCTCAAATATGCTCAATCGTGTTGTAATCTGTAAATATCCAAACATTTATTAATGGCAGCACTCGAGAAGCACGGCAAAACATTTGAGCGTTAAGTGCAGCTTTTGAAATGAGGCTAATTATAATGTAATTTACTCTGCAGTGTAAATAGCGTTAAGTGTTTTTTCTGCAATTCAGAATTCTTACAAAAGTTAGACATTGAATTATCTGATGGCCTCTGTTCTACCTATGGTGGATACCTTATAACTCAATACTGACATCAAAACCCTCAATTCCACATTTAAAGGGAGACCAGAAATCCTGAACTTTGTTTACACACCTCTTCTTCCTGTGTGACTAGTTTGTCTTTTGTAGATTAGATGCTGTTTAATGCATTTAATTAAAGGTTAGAATACAACAGGATTGCAACGCTATATTTTGTATCTGGTTTAAAATAACTCCAGAAGTGACAAGTGGGTGTTATATTTTGGAACCGTTCTCTTGAGCAGCTCACAAGTAAGTCGGTAGCTTCTCGTGGTCTTGTCCTGCGACACCTTGGCTGTTACAGAGATTGAACCGGTGACCTCTTGGTTAAACAGTCTTTCTCTTCACGAGGCCAGCTTGTCTCCTTCTAACCGATTTGTGTATGTTTTCTGTGTGTGTTTCAGTCGGCCTTGGCTTCATGTCTGAGGAACACCTGCCACACTTTGCAAGGCAGTGATCTCAAGGTAACAATATTTCTGTTATACATTTCACATCTATGTACCAATTTACATATCCATTCATCTGTTCAGCTAAGCCTCCGTCGATCCATCCATCTGTGTTTTCCTTGGCTAGTCCTACATTTAAACTTTTCAATACACAAGGGAAATAATGGCTTGGACAATAATTCAATGGGGTTTTGAATGGATCTACTTGTCGCATACATCTGTGCGTACACGCACACACACACTCTCAAACCTGTTAATGTCACATGTCAATGCATAAACACAAGCACAGTCTGTTTTATATATCAAATAGTGTGAGTTTAATTGCTTTCACATAATCTTAAAGGGAAATTTTGCTTCCTTATATGTGTATGTCCAATCAGCGCTGATGCTAAAAGTAATTCACTTCAGAAATAAATTTCACAGTTTACTTTTACTCAGACGGGCTTATTTGCCTCGTTAAGGCATCTTAAAAACACATTATTCAAACTGCACAGAAACGAAATATAACTCGGCAAACGTATCTTGGGTTAGTCGTATCACTGATCCAAGAATCAACAACTCTGGTTTGGTTGAATTAATCCTCAGTTCACAGAGTGAGATGTGAGAATAGGCCGGCTCTACACTCTTTTTAAAAGACGACTTGGTTTCAGATGGATGCCCTAGAGGCATTGCATCCGTTACTTTTCTTCTTCCTCTTGCATCAGTATCTTTGTTTTCCCTGTTTCATACACACATTCTACATTGGAAGATACATCAATGATTTAAACCTTAGGCTGTGTCAGAGGGGAAAATTCCACTAAAAACAAAACATAATGTGCACTGACAGAGTCTGAACACAACAGTATAATGTCCAAACGGTTATATTTTTATTTGCAGCCTGGATCTTTGTCCAACACTTGTCTTCAGTTATTCAGTTGTGTGTATTTTTATAGTATAAGCAGTTTGACAAAGCTCCACTTTGACACAGGTGAATTTTTATCTTTTAGTCTTCTAACAAAGTGCTCTTCTGCCTTGTTTATTACAAATACTGACTTTTATTGTTGGAGTGGAAGGTAAAGTATTTAAAAGCTTAAAGTCTGTTACAATAAGAGATGAAGGTGGCTCAGTGTCCTTACCCACTCATTGTCTTTATTCACGCCCTCGAGCGTAATGAATTGGGATAACTAAAAGGAGCTTTAGGTCTTTTATCTAAAACGGATCATTTGTCCTTGAATGATTTTGGCAAGAAATTATCTTTGGGGGTATTTAAAAGTTATGTAATCATTCTTCTCTAAAAAAAGTCAATAATGCTTGCACACAGTTAAATATAAAGTTATTATCAAGCCACTGTGATTCACGGCTGGTCTAAAATGAGATCGTATACTGAACTACAAAATAGAAGACGCAACAACAGTTGAAAGTAGGATGCCCTGTCTTCTGTGCTGCTTTATTTGTAATAACAGGACAACCCGTTTGTTCTTGCCAGATACCATCTCACACACACACACACACACACGCACACACACACACACCTCCACCGACTCTGAACCCGAGAAAGAATTCCTCCCTCGTGCATTTTATTGGAAACTTTGAAAGGGCGGCGCTGCGAAAGGCCAGACGCACACCAATCCCAGCATACGGAGATTGACAACTGTGCCGTAGCAACAGTTTGGCTAGTTGCCAGGCTGTTGGAGTTGCCAGGCAAAAGGTTTCCATGGCAACATTCAATTTGCCATCTTGTTATGTGAAGCTGGCGTCAACCAAAGCAGATTAGTGTTGGATAGAGCATCGCTCTCACCTGGGAAATCATGTGCATATTTCAGCAGATCAAAGTGTTGTACTCTAAAATTACAAACATGCAACGTAAAAGGGACGTTGCCCTCATTCAGAGAGAGAGATGTGTGTGGGGGTGTGTGTGTGGGGGTGTGTGTGTGTGTGGGGGTGTATATATCTGTATATCTCTCTATGTATGTATGGAAACTTGGCAGCTCTGACACATGTTGAAAATCAGCTGGTACTTTACATTCAGCCTTGAGAGGTGTTGCATCATGTTCATTTTACGGCATATAGTAATAAAGCATTGAAGGTCAGAATGTCTTGTTGTGCTGACTGGTGGATCTGTGAATTGTTTATATTAACGACTGTAACCGTTAAGTGGGATCCCAATGTGTGTTGTCACTGTATGTGGATGAAGTATGAGAGGAACTTGAAGTGAGACGCCCCATTTATGAACCAGCCCAGACGTTTGTCTTGGCGGAGTAGTCCTCCACTGTTTAGACACTCGGACAGGCCTGCTTCAGGGTGGAGCGAGTGGTAGGGAGAGAAGGATAGCTGACATTGGCACAATTACACTGCATTTCTGCGTGATTTGAATGTGAAGATATTGCAGACGCTGGCTGTAAAGTAGAGGAGTCTTTGGGTACGTGTGGGTAAAGGAGGCAGGAGGGGGGGTATGAAGACAGGGTGGTTAAAAGGCGGGAAATCGGGACCCATGAGGCCTGAAGCATAGAAAAGGTTGAGAGGGAGATGTGTGTGGTGGTGGTGGGGGGGGGGGGTGCACTTTGGGGCAGGAGAGTAAAAGCGACTGGGAGCGGCAGATGGAGGATTAGGACTCAACGCATACCAAAAAAAGGACAAAATAGGAAACAAATTCACCTGGCTTCCTATTTACAGTCACACCAGCACGTTTCCCCAATTGGCTAAAGGGTTTTAAGAGGAGCTCTCTGTGTTCTTCCTCTGTCTTTTCTCATGGACATCCATAGCCATCTCTGCCAGGTCTGCTGATTGCTAGGTGCGGTCTATGGTCTAACTCCGGTCTATGATCTTAACTCTTGTATTATAAAGCTCCTTTATTAGAAGATGGCTTCCTTAAATCCCACATGCAAAGCCGCATTTTCATGCAGAGGCTGCAGAGCTCCCTGTAACGGCTCTTTAGTCAGTGATGCAGACTCAGGAGATGTTTTAGTTTCATATTTTTGGGAACATATTTACAATTCTGAAATCATCTTTATGCTGTGTTTTTGTTAAGGATCTGCATGGCATTTACATAGCGTATCACCTTGCTATGCTCAGGGTAATGTAACACTGCTGGCTTATAGCTATTGGAATGTAGCATTGTGCCAGCAGACGGGGCGCTCTAGCAGGCAGCAACCACCACTCCTACAGCGAGGATCTGCTAATTAAAACAAGTCTTGTTATAAGGGTGGTTGTTTTTTTTCACTCGGCGCGACGTGTAAGAAATTCCGTTTTGGCTGTGGAGCCCAAGTCGCCCAGATTTAGATATCGCAGCAGCAGACGTGATGGTGGTGACAGTGTTTTACGACAGATGGCATTCAACTCCCATGAAAACCTGCCGTCTATTAAGTAGAATCAGACAGCTGATGTGGATGAAATGCAGCATTGTGTGACTGTATGAAAGTGCAAAGCCAAACAATATGGCTCAATAAAGCGTCAGACATAATAGCTGCAGATTTTGAACTGTCTCCAGGATGTTAGGGGAAGAGCGATTGTGTACTTGTACCATCCTGTATGTAACAATGCTCAGAGAGAACAGAGCACAGACGGGAAGTAGATGTGAGAGGGAGTTTGCACAGTCGCCAGTAGAGGGCAACACCTCCTAAGAAATAGATGGAAATACTATGAATGAACGTATGAAACGAAGCGTTTGTAGTACTCCACCTGTTGGCCCTCAGATTAGGTCCTCCCAACCCAGACATGAGTGCAGACTTGCTCCCCATTTCATTTTGTAGAACTGTAACATGCGTCACTTAAGGCAACGTCAATCAAACTGCATTTTTTCACCCAAGTGATGAAAACAAAAATGTCCAATAATTCTACCATAACAGACACGCACACAAACAAGACACATACCACTTTAATGAATTAGAGAGGGCTTTAGGGATGTGTGTGTATTGCTCACACGGAAAATAAATGAGACATGAGGTAATCAGCTGACTGGTAGACAGGAGCCAGACAGGTGTATACGTAGAGTATGCACACACGCACACACACACCCCCCTTGGTCCTGCCGGTGAAGATCTTGTCTGGGGAGCAGCTCTACAGTCTGTGCTCTGCAGGGTGAGGTAGTTGGTTGTATGGTTTCGCATAATAAACAGCATGGAGATAACTGTACAACCTTCTAGCTTTCCCTGCGGAGTCACTCCTTGCCACATCTAATGCACCACCAGCAGAGAGGTAAGTATGTTGCTACTGCGTGAGCGGATCTCCTAGTGGTTAATGACATGAATCCTTCTTTTTAATGTCTATCCTCTGAACGTCTAATCCGACACTCTCCCCTTGGGCAAAATCCTGATGAAGTCTTTTCTAACTTCCCCATGAGCCTGTTTGTCATTTTGTGTGAAATATTTGTTGCAACTGGACATGTGTCAGGAGGACGAGCTGCTGTTTGACAGACATGCAGTAGTTCCTACTGCAGCAGAAATACCTTAAGAGAGGATGCTGAACCCTGATTTTTATCCATGATGCTATGTCGAGGTCAGATAAGGGACTGTTCAGGAATTGTTTAAACACTATTAGTGTAGAGAGGGGGTTGTATTCATATATAATAATAATAATAGAAAACCTAAGATGCAAAATAGTCTGTTAGTCACAGAATTGCTGAAACTAAAGCCATGTTTTCCTCTACATATGGCCAAACAGGGAACTTATTTTTCAAACAATAAATCTCATAAGGGAAGAATTGGATAATAAATCTGGGACGAGAAAAGGTAAACTACCCACCCTTCAACAAGAATAAGACGACTCTCCTTTCCTGCCCTCTATCTCCCCCTACCAATTTCCATTCAGTCCCCTAATGAATCACGACATAAAACATAAATGACATGGATCACACGTTATACAGTGCTTTACGATGGAGATGGATTCCCTGCCTGTGCTTGGCAGCACATTGTGAGATCCTTGTATAAGGCTATTGTATGTTTACAACAGGTAGATGAGGCTGAAGTTGTACTTCTACTCACATGCTACTATCTACTACTCTACTTCCATGTTACCACTTTGTGCAGTCCTCTACATCCACGCCAGCAAACGCAATCGCACATTTTTTTCCCCCAGTTTCATTACCCTACTCCTCCCACTCCTCCCTTCCCCTATGGATGTCAGACTGGTGGTTGAGACAGCAGCCATCTGCAGTGCGTTTATAGCCAGCTCTCCTCCCCTCCTAGAAAAGGGGGAGGAGGGGGGCATATATCAGAATTGTGCTGATTCGGCACAGTCGGTCGAAGCGCTCTTTATCACCCACCGCACAACGCTGCTCTCCTGCCAGAAGAGACAGCTTGAACGTCTGACGGTTGTAAGGTGTGCGGGGCAAGGATAATGTACGTGGGAGGAAGAGCCGTCTGCCCTGCCTCACCCTCCCTGTCTCTCGCTCTCTCACAAACAATGTGGTACAGATTGGCTATACCAATGACCGGTAATACTTGGCTCATTTTCCAGCATGGCAGATGCTGCACACTGTGCATATGTGGGATCAGACTGTTACACCAACATATTCTCAAACATCCACATATGCTGCTCTAAATGTCTTTTTCAAGGTTGGAATCGCAAGTGAAACGCCACAACCTCTCCCGATACAAAGCACCACGGCCTCCTTGAAGCACCCTAAAAATGTATCCTACTTCACTCTCTTTAATACCTTTTTTTTTTATTTGTGCACTCGTACACAACTTTATGAAAACAGGTGTGATGAGAAGGAGTGTGCTGTCAGAAATGATGCCGTCTCCCATCTCTTGGGACTATAACTGAGAACTGGAGCATCCTAAAACAGACGAGGCAGACACCATCCCAGACTGATGATGTCATCCCTGTGAAGCACTCCCATTGCTTTGTCTCTGTGGCACTGCAGAGTGCAGCCGCAGGCAATACACACGCATACAACCATACCCAGGCACACGCACACACATCTGTCTGGGACATTCTGCATTCGTCACTCAGGTTCGAACACTGCTCATACCAGAGAGAGCTGCTTTTTCTTGGTTTTTAAGTCAAATTGGCGTCCAGATAGCCAACGTCTCAAAAAGCCGTGCTGCAATTTAGCATTATGGCAAAAGACAGACGGAGGAGTTAGGCTCCTGCACGCCGTAATCTATTCACCATCAGAGTCTTAAGTTTTTTTGTTAACGTACAGGAATTTCTGTTGGTGACATTAATGCCGGACCAGATGGGATGTATGTGCTGCGCAAGCACATATTGCAAAGGAGCTCACATTGAATGCAAAGGGATGGTGCAGCACACATCAGAGCAGATACTGTTAACACCATCAGCATGTTGTTTCTATGCAAATGTAGGTGGCATGGCATTACAGTGTGGTTGCGGCTACGGAGGAGGATGTGAGGAGTCCTGTAGTGCATCGGAGCTGTGAATAAGACAGTTATACAGAATAGGATGAAAGCGGGAAATGCATTCAGCTGTACTCTGTCTAGAATAACCGCTGCTATTTTGACACAGACCAGTATAGGCGATGTGAGTACGTCGTGAATATTCATGAGGTATTATGGATGTATAGTGTAGTGTTTTTATTCTAACCTACATTTCTGAAAGGTTGGCTGCTCGTCGTGCATATTTATGAAACCGAAGCCTCATCTGAAAGCCCTTTGAAAGAAGGTGAAGACGAGTTTGTCTCAATCGATTCCCATCATATGTAGATGTCAGCTCTTGCTATTCAGTGAGACGGGTTGTAAAATTCTCACTAAATGCCACAAACTATCGATGTGCTTACTTGTCCTTTTCTCAATTTAAAACCCTCATTTTTGTTAGATGGGTGTTAACATCTTTCTGATGGATTGCTGGTTATCCCAAGCCTCAGTCATCACTCGCTCCTTCAGGCCAAAAACAAAGGATTCTCTTTTTCAGTTTACCCTCCTTTGCTCTATATGTGTGACACGTTGGGGATATTCTCTGTTGTACAACACTTAGGTGCCATTAATGATGCTTACACATCAAGTGTAGTGTTTATGCTCCATCTCGCTGAACCGACAGCCAATCAGTGGGTCTAAATTAGATTTACTCAGATTCTCTCAGGGCCAAATGATTCTGTTATCCAACGAACTTCAACGCTCTGTCCTCTCGGAGAGTAGCACACACGTTAGAATCAAACTGCCTTTAGACGTGAATGGACTGAGCAGCTGAACAGAAATAAATGTATAAAAATATGAGAGAATTGTAAAATATTACATAACAGTTATTTATGTATGCATGCAACACAGTGTGGGTGTCTTTCTCAGAGGCTGTTTAAACAACAATGAAAGACTTTCTGGATCAGTTTGATTGTACCGAACTGCATATTGTCCACCTCTGATGTTAAGCTGTATAATCAAGACACATTCTCATAATTGGCAAAGCTTTCCACCGTGGGTTTATTTAATGCATTTGATGTCACTCCCGCTGCAATTTACAGTTGTGTTGGATCAACACCGTAAATCCTGTAATCAATTTGATGATGGTATGATTGCTGTACACGTAGGAGGAGGCAGTAATGTCAGGCTCTCAGGTTCACGAGACTCCTGGGCTTCATATTTTCTCTGTATTCTCATTCTATTAGAGATTCTGACCCTCCCCCTCCATCCCCACTTTCTGCTAGCCTCTCCGCCACCCTACCTCCCTCCCCCCGTTGTCTCCCTCTCTCTCACTCTCACACACACACACACACTGTTCCTCTCTTTCGTAGACACGCATACAAACACACACATGCATGCACTCGCTGCATTCTTATTCACTCTCTCTTTCCATCGTTCACACATACACGCGAAGCTCAGCCTGGAGTGTGTGTATTGGGGGGGTGGGGGTGGGGGGACTGGGCTAGTAGAGACGTAAGGCTTGAAAAACGTGAGAGGAAAAGGGGGGAGATGGCAGGATGACGACTAGAGAGTGTAAAAGAGGGAGAGAGGAAGGAAGAGAGGAGACTTTGAGGTACAATGAAAGCAAAGGGAGACGACTAGAGACCATGAATGCAGCACGAAGGGTAAATGAGTGTGTGTCGTCTGTAAGTGTTGGATAGCGTGCACTGGGAGGTTTGGCGTACAAGCATTGTACGCATGTGAAGCACGCTTTTTACTCTGCTTTTTATTTTCCTCTTGTTTGCAGCGCTGAGCGTTTGTGATGGCAGCCCTGCGGAGACAAAAGGTGAGCGGCTGTATAGATGTTGGTGTTAGTCAGGTAGGTAGGTAGAGAGCAGGGAGATGGAATCAATACTATTGTCTGTAACCTACCTGCCGCTGGGCTCTCTGTCTGGCCCATAGACCATCAGAGAGAGAGAGAGGAAACACAGACTCACTCTGACTGGGAAAGGAAAAGAAGAGGCTGACTGTAAGGTGGTTTTTCTTTTTTACGTTTTCACTAACAAGGTGAATGCAGATTAAGGATTTTAAAGAGATTTTTTATTTATTTTTTATGCAGAGCTGACATGCATTTTTGTCTGAAACTTTTTCATCACTAATTTTTCATATCCTTTCCTTTGACAGTAATGGAACCAGTCATGTTTTGATGTACGTGCATGCATGTGCGCACTCTTCTACCTGTATATACTTGTAGTATGAATGTGAATGTGTTTGCGCACACTGAAAAGTCTTTCAACTAGTGTCCAGACTGCATGTTGTCGGCAGGTCATATTTTATGTTTCGCGTTTGATTTGCATCTCGTTTTAATTCACATTTTTATTACTTTTATGTTATTTGTAAATCTCAGAGGAAAAGAAGTGTGTGTGTGATATGCACCCCATTATAATTAAATACATCTGGCAGGGAAATTGGTAAAATTAACAGCTGTCAAGGAATTTAATTGTCTTGACTGGCAGTGTTAAGCAATATGCATTTACACCTCCTGCAATTATCACGAATGTGTTCAATATAGAAATGATCATGTCTTTTCTTTCTTTCTTCTTTTTCTTGGTGCAGTATAACAATAATAAAAAAAGAGGACAATTAGATGGTGTCAAAACATTCGGACACTAAGACGAGCACAGCACACTACACCAGTTTATATTGAAGTGGGAGGTTGAGTTGGCCAGTGTTTGACTTGACATGTTTGATTAGGTGAGGTATGTCTGTGACGAGGATGGCAATGTAACGACAACAAAAAGATGGAAAGAGCTGAGGTAGGGAGAAATTTTTATTTCTGTTGTGCTTTGAGATTTGGCATAAATACTGAGTCATACTGAGATGAATGACAGTATTTTAAACAAACCTGAAAGCAACCTCCTCCGCAGAAAAATCCACCATTAATTTCCCGGTGAAGTTATGACAAATGTGTGCTGTTCCCTGTGGTCTGATCCGGCTGCCACATGCAACATTAACTGAGACGATCTGAAAAATCACACCTCTATATTCCAAAATCGTTGAGGCCTGTAGCTCACAAAGTAATAACTGTAGTAATACGTAATGTGCATTAATGCGGTTCAATTTGATGCAGAATATGACGCAGGCACCTTGATTCAGATTCGACGTGAGGCGTTTTACATGAGTCACGAGTCACAAAATGTGTCGAATGTATTTCCCTTTTCCACAACATACGAACATATTCAGTCTTCCCCAGTCGCCATGTGTCATTCTGTCTGTCTACCAGTGGGGGGCATTGGCTTCTGATATTTCTAGCAGTTAATTTTCTTTCTGTCATCGCCAAAAGATGTAGAAAGTTTTACATTGATATGTTAGGGTTTATAAAAAGGCTCCAGTTTGATATTGTTGTCTGAAGTGTCATCATGTTTACTTTACATTTACAGGTGGATTTGTGTCGTCTGTGCGCACCTTGTCCTGCTCTCGTTTCATCTCAACTGGTAAGTCAGAAGAAAGATCCTGTCTTCCTGTTAATATTGGACTATTAAACATTATGACTTATTAATAAGTGCGACATTTGTAGATGTATATACTGTATATTCCTGTAAATTCCTCTTACAGAACTTAACTTAATGAAAATTGTCCTTACAAGGATTAAAGTGAAGGATTAAACCACAGCAATTCTCAAGAACTAAAGATAATTATCAGTTTTTATGATGCATAAGTTACGTTTTAGGCAAAGATTCTGCCATTTATGTCTTACATAGAGGAAAAGGTTCGGGCAGTTACCAAGAAAGTTAAGATAACCGTCCCTTTATTTGACATTTAAGTTCTAGACTGTAATTTTGCTTCTGTTTCTTACATACGTATTGAGGTTATTTTTAAAGCCCTCTCAGAGCACTGAGCTCAGAAAAGACACTGTAATTTGTCAGTGCTCAATTAATCATGTTCAAAAACGCCCATGATATATAAACAGTTTAAAATTAATTGTTTCTCCTAAATGAATTTGTCTCCTCCACAGTGTGCTCAACTGCTGCATTGCTGAGATTATTTGAGCCTCGATGTGAAAAATGTTACTTTACTCGTCATTGCTGCACTGCAAGGCAACAGATTAGTGTGGAGGAAATGAAGACAAATATGTGATGATTGTTTTAATTGATCTGATTAGTTTTGCTTGTGATCTGCAGCCAGCACGGAGACCAGTCGGTGCCGCAGAATCCAAATGTCAGATGAGGTCGTGCCTTTGTCTCGGTGCTGCGGCTCTGCGGTTCTTTCTTTAAATAAGTTTTACCTCCGTGTTGCTTTTTTTTTGTACTTTGAATACAAATTTAAAGCCTCCCTGTGTATTTTAATTTCTCAGTATGCCCCTCTGTCCCTGAGACCCTTAACCTGTGAGGTCAAAGCAGGTCACAGGTGAGGTCCTCGGGAACAGGGCTGCATTCAGTTTCAACGTCCTACAAAAAAAGGGGCATTTTTGTATGTAAATTATTCCATGATGGAATTTTTTTCTCCCCAGAAAGTCGTGTGTTTTGTTTCCCTTGTTCTCACAGAATGTTTACAATACAAGAAAACTCAGAGGATGCAATGTCATGTTTTCTTCTAGCTGTAATTTATCTTAGTACCCAGCTGTGGGTTTCTTCAGTACGTTGACTGTTTTCAGAATATGTTTACCTGTCGTCGTCATGATGATGATGATGAAGACGAAGAACACCCCGTCTGCAGCACAGACACTCAGAGGGCCAACCCTATTGGCTGGCTTTGTGTTTATAGCCCTCAATGGGGGCTAATAGGAAGACAGCCGAGGGTTGTGACCCCGTCAGTTATGCCACTTTCAGAAAGAAATGTTATTTGTACATCATGTGCATGTTTTGTGCTTTGTACTGGAAAAGTGCCCTGTATTCCATCTCAGTATGTTAATAAAATATGCCAAAAAAGGTTGTTGTAATGTATATTTAAATTTTTTTAAATACGTCTTTCTCACCCGAAAAACTCCACAGGTGTTAAATTTGCAATCTCAATTTCATTTGTCTACAGTTCATGCATTATATCTTTGCTACACTGAGCCAAAAGGCTGGATTTTTTTTTTTTTTTTTTTACATGAAGCACCAGTTTTTAAAATGAGTAATTGAAAACATCTTGTGAAGATTATTTTGCTTTCTTTGACAAAACGGTGTCATCTTTCATATAAAGCCTTGTTTTTTTTGGGGGTTTTTTGTACAACTTGAAATTGTAATGATTATATTTATAAATGGTCATGAGAAGATTTTTATCAAAGTGCCTTGTAGCAACAAATTGTAAAATGTACTCAAACACACCACAGACACGTATTTGGGATTTTCCGCGTTGGACCGTCTGACTTTGTCAGTCCTGGAGCAGACTCTTGCCTAATATTGATTGGATTGTCTGTGTGGAGACGGATGAATGCATTAGTACCCAGCTCACCCCGCCACTGGAAATATATTAAGTTCATGTATTAGGCACCCTGTCTGGTTGCCATGGAGATGCACGGGGAGTGAGGGACCAGGGAGGAGAGGGGGGGGGGGGATGGGAGACCGAGTGGGGGATACAGGATGTGATGAGGCGGTCGACTTGATTTGTAGTCCCGTTCCCTCTTCCTCCTCCTCTGCCTCAGTCTGTCACTTACACGTCCTCTCTTGCCTCTTGCACCCTCTTTGTTCCTCCTCGCTTCATTTTCTCTAACATTATTTCACCACTACTTCTAAAATTTTCTTAACTCCACCAGCAAGAATATGCGCCGTCTCTCTCTCTCGCCGCTCATTATTCTATTGATGATCCTTTTGTTCCCTTTTTTTCTCTTCCTATTTGGCTTTGACTCTCCGTCTCGCCACCCCCACACCACCAATTAGACTTTTACTCTTTGTGTATTTCTTTTGAGTTTACTTGCCAGCACGCTTTCCACTTTGTCCCTCGACTGCATAAGCATTTAACTCCCTCTTCATCTGCCCCTCTCCCCTACACCGCCGCCTCCCACCTTGGCTCGCTCCACCTCTGAGCTCTGCAGTAAAACTGGTGCATTGAGGCAGCAGGAAATCGGGGGAGACAATAGAATGGAGGGAAGTATAGAGGGGAGTCTGTGATACTCTCCTTTCAAACTCGAGCATGTTGAGGAACCGGAGCAGAACATTTTTAACATCTTGTGTTAAATTTCATGTGGGATATATGTACCTAAAATTCATATTCAAACCTTTTGATTATTTTCAAAATACTGAATAATATGCATAATATGCATCCTTGTGGTCACTATGAGCCCAGGATTTGAATATAAACAGTTTGTATAGAAACCTTTGTTTGAGTTTCTTGCTCATGCTGCAAAATGTGCACCTCTGCTTTGTGTCTCGTGTGCGTTAGCTTGCTGTTCGGGACCTCTCTGAGCTGCTTTCAGTGCTTTGTGGACGTTTCAGACGCTCTTCGCCTGTGTTGGGGTCACATTTTGACTGAACACAATGTTAGAAATGTTGACGAATGCTTCAGGAAGCTGGACCGTATATTCAACAAAAATGAGAGAGTGATTGAGGCTGCAAGAGTGGGTGCGGAAAATGATCTTTTTTGGTACTTTTTATAATGTTTTAGAATTTTTCTTCAAGGCAAACACAAAAACATTATGTACACAGTAATAGCTGTGTCCCTCTTGCAGGTGGAGGTTACGACAAACAACTGAAAGAACTTCTGGATGCAGAAATCCTGCCCATGGTGGAAGAGTTCCACGAGAAGCTGAATAAAGGTAATAACTGCACAATTAAATGAGTCTTTAGAGCATCAGAATTGGTCCGAAACGGAGAGTTAGAAATGAGATTTCAAAATGATGCCCTAAAGCATACAATTCACCAGTATGTGTTAAGCCAAATATTTCAGTCTTCCTCCTCTCCATCCATCAGACACAGTGTATGAGGAAAGGTTGCAGACAGCAGCAGACAATTTCATCGCAGCTGCCTCCAAACTGCCTAGAGGTGAGACATGGTCCCCTTTTCCTTCATCTTTTCATCTTTGGTAAGGCCCATATTAGGTCATTACAGCTCCCTCAGATCTCTGTACTCGCTGTAATAAGCTAGTTACGGTATTACAGCCTTTCAAATACTGTAGAGAATAAAGGAAGCAGTCTGGTTGAACTGACTCATACCTCTGGATGTTGGCACTGAATCTGATCGAAATAGCATTTAGCAATCTAATTTAACTATCCTTTTGTTTTCACAGTCTCTGGATGCGTCCCTCCTTGTGGTTAGTGTATTTTTTTTTATCTCTTAAGTAACTGTCATTATTAACAAAATATCTTGTATCAATGTTAGTTTCATGCACCCATCAGGTTTTCAGAGTGCAGGTGCAGTATACAACTGTATTACCTGCCACTACGACTCCTGTGGACTCCCTCTCGACTGTCCATGTGAGTATTAATAAACCAACATATTGGGTTAGTGACACCGTTGCATCACAATTTCTAAATAGGAAAAGGTGTTCTAATCCAGACTTGACACATCCTTGCATAACTATATTCTCACGCTCATAAGCATCCACTCTTGATCCTTGAAATGCTCTTAGCAGAAAGTTGAAATTTGAAAAAGAGACCAAGGGAAGGTTTTATTTCCTCACATTATATCTTTTGCACGGAGCCCCCAAGGTACTCTTTAAGTCCTTGGCTTCTTTATGCAAGGTGACAGTTGACTCCCACACACGATGGTATTCATATCAACCCTGTACAGCACAGCCACTGTTTAGCATATCATCACTTTTACTCCATTCCTCAGAGACTAGGCTTAAGTATTATCATTAAGGAAGGCTCAGACTGCAAGAGCCCTGTGAATGTTATCTGTGTGTGTGGCTATATGTTTGTGTCAGTTAAAGAAATGAACGTAACGGAGAACAGTAGGAGCCAAATATGGTGCGAAGTGCCATTTCACTTACCAGACGACATCGAGGTGATCTGGAGTGTTGCAGAAGAGGTACGCCAAACAAACCCAACACAATAGAGGGTCAAGGGGCTGCTTAGTGAAGAAGTTACTCCAGCACCTCCAAAGCTCACTATTCAACACATACGTACAGTCTCATTTGTTTAACAAAATAATAAATGAAGTCTAAAAAGGACATTGTGTGTGTGTGTGTGTGTGTGTGTGTGTGTGTGTGAGAGTGTGTGAGTGAGTGAGTGAGTGTGAGAGAGAGAGAGAGAGAGAGAGAGAGAGAGACTAATTAGTGAGCTTTAGAAGTGCCGGTAGGTTGATGTTACCTGCTGACAAATTCACACTAGCTTTTCCCCCTCTATTTTCGGTCTTTACGCTAAGCTAACTGGCTGCTGGTTGTAGCCAGTTATATGCCCTCACCAATGGGCTATCCTGACTTCTCACGGTTAAGGCCTAACCTGAACCAATCGTCTCTGCCGAAAGCAGGGCGGGTCTTGTGAAGAAATACATTGGGATTCATAATTACGCTTACTAGAGTGGCATCAATCTTCTCATCTAACTTCCAGCAAGAAAGTGAATACCGGTGTATTCCCTAAAACTATTACGTCAGCACATACAGTATGAAATCTGTCTTTGCATCCTTGCAGATTATCATAAATGATCAGAATTTGTAAAAATGTATGCCTGGACAGGAGAAAACCCAGCAGGTGGACCAGTTCAAAGAAGTGACTGCGGGGGTGGACATGCTCTATTCCATCCCTTCAACCAGCTTGCAGCATCAGGGCACCTACAAGTGTGAGATCTACTCAGGCCAACACTCCATTGTCAGGCTTTACTACTATCTCACAGGTAACAAGATACACCACTTTTAGGAGAAAGAATTGGAAACTGTGATTAGTACTGATGAATGGGTGGACAAAACAACTCCTTCACACTTAAGGAGAGAATATGCGTAGAAGATACAGATGCAGTATGAATAGATGCAGCCTAAATAAGGTTAGAATATTGAGAATAGCTTTGGGGGGGGAAATGGGAAGCCTGGAGAAAAAATCATTCCTCCATTCCTAAGAAATATTGACAGTTGAAACAAAATGGAGGCCATCATTGAAATGTATTGGTACGTATGTATGTAAATGAGTGGATTCTTATTTATGAATATCAATATATAGATATGCATAATCATACAGCTTTGCATAAGTGCATAATATGCACTGTATCAGTACATATGTATCTTTCCTAAGCATCTATGTAAATTCTTACTAGGCTTCATTGCATTAAGGACAGACTTTTGTTTTCTTTTACTTTTCTTCTTCTCTATGACAAATAGTTTCAAATTAATGTCAAAGTATAAATAAAATGTTTTTACTCAATGAACTGGTTTTCTTTTATCACTCTCCCTATTCCTTCATCATTGTTGTTTTCTGTCCTCGATGTGAGTTGAAATTCTCCCCTGTATTCTTTCTCTCTCTGTCTAAGTGACCCCCCAGGTTGTGGAAGGCCACACAGAGCTGCAGGAGATATTCGACCTGTCTCTGCTCCCAGAAGGACGGTTACTCCCTGAGCCTGCTGGTTCGCCCCCCTCCCTCCTCCCCTCGCCACCGCTTCTCACTGCCTGTTTAACTGCTTTGCTTCTGCTGCTGTTCCTCTCCCTGGGGTAAAACAAATCTTTTATTTCTACAATATGAGACACAAACAGCAAAGAACCTTATAAATGTGAAGTCAAGCTGCACCTGGCGAAGGCAGATAGTAGTTGGTATCATATACTGATTTACACATTATCCTTATCTGTTGCAGAGCTCTGTATTGGTTAACAAAGCCAGAGCAAACGCATCATGCTCAACATGGAGATGAGGATTTGGGATTCTCAGAGTTGGGAAGATGCATGTAGTGCAATAAAGGCATTTCATCAATCCTCTGGTCTTCCATAGAGCCTTACGTCATAGTTTACAGAAAGCCTGTGTGTGACTCCTTCCACCACTAGAGGGCAGGATACTAATGTCTATCAGTGGTGCCCGGGCTGCACTGAACTGTATGAAACAACCGCAACTATGCTCATTTGAGTGTTACAGTTATGGAGAGTAACTAACGAGGTTTACTCACTTACTGTAAGTACAATTTTGAGATGCTTGTAGTACAGAAATATTGTACTTTTTACTCCTCTACATTCATCTGACCGCTGAAGTTACTTGCCGCCTTTCATGTTTTGATTTGGCATAAAAACATATGGTGAGCTTGTAAAATGTTTTTGATTACACTGTGTAGTTAACGTAAGCTCCGCTTCAATCAGCTACAACAATTATGCTGCATTAAAATGCTTTTAACCCTTCTATACTTTTGGGGTCAATTTGACCCCATTCAATGTTTAACGTCTCCAAATAAATGATTGACATCATTTTTGCTTCATATTTAATGACTTTTCCTAATTTAATGGGGACAACTGGAAACATAAAATGATCATGATGATATGTTTTCAATGTCCTGTATGCATCAGTGTTCTTTGGGCTCAATTTGACCCCAGGCTGTTTTAGCTGTATAAAACATATAAGAAATATCTATTTTACACACATTTGTTTTGGTTGTTTTGGTCACTATAACATGTAATTTTCTAATCTTCAAAAAGCTTTAGGGCCCTAACCTAACATAACCATAACTATAGTAGTGCGAGAACCACTGATAGTTCACACGACATGGGGGAGGGGAAAACATCATTCTCGCGAGAACTTTGATATTTCCCACGTGGGGGCGGGAAAATATTGTTCCGTGAAGATATTGATCGGGGTAGAGCAAACATATGAAAGCTTGCACAGCAGCCTTCTAAACCATTTCTCTTGGTGCTCTCTGTGCTCTCTCTCAACTGAAAATTACTTCTAAGGAAAGGTTTGTTTTTTTTTTACATTGGGTTGCTCATTTTGGCAGGAGTGTACAAGTCAAAAGGCGAAGCAACAGCAAGCCTTTGGGCTGCTGACACTGGAAGGGCAATATTTCCAGCCAGCATGTCTCTAAACACATTCCATGTTTTCTCCCGTGGCATACGCTTTGATGACAGAGAAACAAGGCAGGGCCGACGAGAGCGTGACAAACTCGCATCAATACGGGATGTATGGGACAAGCGGGTTCAGCGATTACCCTTTCTTTACAATCCAGGCCCTCACGTGACTGTGGATGAACGTCTGGTTGCATTTCGTGGGCGCTGTCCCTTCAGACAATACTGAAATAAATTGTTTGTTTTTCCTTGGGTCAAATTGACCCCAAACATAATACATGTTACTATTCTTGATAACAGAAATTGTTTTTCGTTCCAAATATTATAGATAACAAAAATATGTACTTAGAAATAATATAAAGCCGTTAATTAAAACACCAAAAAGATATCTCTTTCCAACTTTAGGTCAATCAGCGAGATTTTATGGTGATCTGCATATTTCTCCATAGTTGCATAAGAGGTATTCTGGATGTACATAAAGTACCTGACACATAACCTTGGGTAGCAATTTTATAATCATTTTCTGGAGGTTTAAATTGCTGGGGTCAACTTGACCCCAAGGATAAAAGATATTAGTAAATTTGAAGGTAACAGGACGGTTAAGTCATAGAATTTTATAATGATATAATAATCTAAATATACCCAACACTCTAAAAGGTACCATTCTGCATAATTTGCTTTTGATATGTTGTGAACATTTTTGCCGTTGTGCAGTGTTCTCCAATTACCATCAAATGTAATATCCCACAAAACTAATTGATGCAGCCACCTGAGACAGTCAAGCCTTCAGGTGACCACAAGGAGGCAGCAACACACACACTACGTCCCATGTTAGAAAGCACAAGAAGAAGAAGACATCCTCGACCTCTCAGGGGATATTTAGCTTGAACTTTGTTGCTACATTTTCATTGTGTCACATCGGGGCTGTGGTACAGAGAATATTTGGTTGCTAAAATTAAATACAACATCCCCAAACACAAATCTGAATCATATGTGATGATGGGGAAGTACATATGTTGCAAAACACATCTTTACTGAGAATGTGACACTTGAGTCATACTTACATACATATATTTGCCAACAACTTATTTGTTAGAGTGGAAACCAAAGCTGAAAACCCTCTGACGTCATAGCCAGCCTTTATGGACCAGTCAATCAGAGTGAGAGTAATTAAACGTTACATAACATATACTCTTTATCCTTTTGTAAGTTAGTAAATTGAGTGATTTTATACTTTGCTTCTCCTTCAAAAAAGGAGCGGCAGGCTATACCTGGTTGCTTCGGGTCAGTTTGACTTACACTCCATTCTCCCTATCACTTTTTTTCCCCAACACATTTTCCATTTATATTGATTACCTGCATTGACATGATTTTTTTTTTACATGACACGAGGGGTCAATATTAGATCGTGAACGATTAATATGTAATGCACAGTTTGCCTTCCTGAAAGATACATTTTTAATGTTTTATTGAAAACTCAACTCCTTTGCCACTGTTGTGGTGAATATGGCGAATGTTTTCTGTATATTTACCGTATATATTTCCTCACTCGCACAATAGTGAGGCAGACTGGATTATCTAGCTAACAGAGGTATAAATAAATAATAACAGAAAACAACTGAGAAAATAGGAAGTCTGAGAAAGTGAAACATAAAAAGACAATTAAAGGCAGATGTGTTGAATTTCAGAAATGTAGTCCTTGGATTTAAAGCTCAAGTACAAAAAAATTAAAATAAATATTTTTACAACAAATTTTCAGATTTTAAAGTCTTTTGTGATTCTGGAAGAGCTTAGTCAGTCTGAAAAAATAACCCAGATGATGTCATCAGGGTTATCTCAGAGTCTGAAAGAAAGGTGCATTTACAAAGGCTTGTATTATTGTGTTCAAAAGTATTAAATGTAAGAAGTTTACTATAGTATTTATTGAAGGGCTGTTTTGCATTCAGGGTTTATATTTGTCTGGTAACAGGGAGAGCTACCTTGTGTTTTTGAGGAAACACTGTGCACTTTTTGTCACTGCACACAAAGATATGACTTCGTATGTGCTCTAAAGACAACACATGTGCCTAGTTCCAGACCTTTGAGTGCTCCCACTCCACCGAGGTCGAGTTGACTGATTGGTCTGGCATCAAGGCATAAACCAGGGATTTCCCCATTTAAAGACTAATCGAACCAATGATTGCCGTGGGAGGGGGACTAACAATTAGCTAATCAGCCCCGTGGGAGTGGGACCCACACAGCCGTCAATCTGTTGTCAGCTGTGTGCCTAACCAAGGAGTAATCACAACAACAATAGAGACCGCTAACATTAACGCTGCTATCGAGGCTGTTCTAAAGTGATTAAAAGTACAGATTACTTTGAAATCTGAACAGAACTCTGCTTTGAAGGCATTTATTCAAAGGGTATGTGTTATTTGGTGTATCACGGCCCCTCTTCTCTTCTCGAGTCTTCCTCTCATTTGAGATGCTGAATAGTAAATTTTAATTTGATATGACCCCCTTGATTCACAAATTCATTTTACAGATACGGTGTGTCCTCTAAATATCGCCAGGCAACCTAGGCTGCTTCTGTTTGTTTTTCTTTATCTTTTCTCTTTTTACTCGCTCCACTCCCTTCTTAAAATACCAACACAAAATATGTTGTCATGACCACACATCTCTGTCGACTCAATGTGACGTCAGAATCAGGCGGACACGTTGGTCTCTAGTGCTTGTGACCGATTCAGATGCAGTATAGACCTTATACTCCAGATTACCATGAACCATATTGCCCATCCTGTTATTTTGTCATTGGTACTTTTTAACTGAATGTGTTACGAACAGAAACATATTTAAACTGCATGCCACCAATGCTTAATGTTCATCTTTGAGCTGCAGAGTAATTTCACTTTGAGTGAGATCACATAGACAACAGTCAGTCGGTCTCCATATAAAGACAACAGCGTGTTTATAGCTTGTGAACTTTAATCCTCAGTAAATTAGAGAAAGCGTAGCAAACAATCATGTTATTGATGAATGCTCTGCTACAAAATAGTTTACCTCTTTCTTAATAGTTACATATTTGCTAAGAACCTCTTGTTCTAATAACAGGGCAGGCTGGAACAGTGGTTGGTGGTTCCAGGTACAAGAGGGAGGCATCAGACAACTCAGGCACAGTCTGCTCTTGTCAACCCACACCAATACAGTACCTGCCTTTTGCTGGAGACCACCCATTCTTAATGCAAAAGGGACTCAGGAATGATAAAGATAACACACTACATCAAATGTTTCCACTGCAAGACCAAGTAATAAAAAAAGATTTCACATTTCACACGCTTGATGTTAGAAAATCAGAAGTCCAGGTCCACAGTTCCATCCCCTAAAAATGATCACATTTAAGAATAATGTTGAGTCTAATAATACCACTAAACTTTAGTTAAATACTTAATATTTCTCAGTCAGTTGTTGGTCCACCACTTTGGTCAAGAGTAAAAAAAAATCGAACTAACTATTGACCATTTCACAGTTGTAGACATTCTAAATGTGTCCCACTTTATTTCCTCTTGCAGTGCATGAATATAAAAAGAAGGAAGGGTCATTACGTCATCCTGACAGTATTCTAGTGTTTGTGCCAGACATTGGTGCCAGTTCTTCTGAAGTTAATGAGAGGACATGGCGAATCCCACTAAAAAAACATCATATCTGTCTTGTTTTGACTGTAAATATGCTTCCACCAAAAAAAAAAAAAAAAATGGTATCTATTTGTGCGTCTTTGTTTTCCTTGTTATGGCTCTGCCAGCAACGGAATATAGCTAAACTCAAGTTAGCTACATTTTGATGTATATCCAAACAGGGCAGCGCCAACCTATTATCGCTGACTAGACTGTGATTATAACCAGATCAATGGTTATAATGGCCTTTCAGTAAATATAGGACTTGACCGTATGCTACAATGCATGCAGTTTGCCTCAGTGACTTCCATTCATACTAGTCATCCAGCCTGTGTTATTAGCTAGCATACCCCTAAGCCATGACAGCGATTAAGCTAGAGAGGCTGCTCAATTTGCTTTCACTCTCCAATCCTGCCGCTCCCTGTCTATTTCTTTTACACCTTCACAAGGGTTATTGCTTACTAAAGTTAACTGTTATATCTCCAAATGAATGAAGGATGCCTTAACAGAGATATTTCTGGCTAACGTTAACTAATCAAAGGGCAAATGCTAACTTAGTTCACTGAAGAGCAATAAAGTAACAAGTACCAGGTATAAAAATTGCCGTCAACTAACTGACAGAAATGGACAGACCTGGCTGACATTAGCCCTCCTAAAAGTTATTAAATATCATTAACAGCTGGTTGGTTGGTAGATGGTGGGTTAGTTACTGATAACAAAGACGCTCAATTTCAATCAAATACATGTAGAATACCATGGCTTGGCACCAATGTGAGTTCCGTGGAGTAATGACCTTTCTACTTTTATTAACCGTTGTTGCAGTGTATGTGAATGACAGTAGCTGACAGGAAGTAGACATGGACCCAAGTTGTTGCCGTTTAAACCGTCTGTAGGATGTAATGCTATGACGTTTTGGACGGACGTTCCCAGAGGAGGAATCCTAATGACTTTGGCAACCCCCTTACATTTCCTTAATCACCTCCAAGAGGTTTTTTGGATTGTAGTCAAATGTTTTGACATTTACTGGATGGATTGAAGTACAATTTGGTACATCTACCCAAGGTGCCCAGAGGATGAATGCTTATAATTTTTGTGATCACCTGACTCTATGCCCTCTATCTCTAAGCAGCTTCACAGAGCCACTAGTGCATTTTAAAAAGACTGTATACATGTAATAAGCAGAAATTGACACGTGTAGCTGGATTATTTTTTCGTAGGATATCATAGGAACCATTGTATGAGGATACGTTGTCATATTACAGCGCAAGTGCTAAAAAAATATAACTGATTACACCTGAAGCCTTAATGTCTGGGTGCTTCTTCTTTTCCTCCCTTTCCATGTAATAATTTCATTTGAAGAATCTGATGGCGCCTAAATAAAACCAGTCTGCTGATAGCTTGGGAAGCCCACAGTAATCCTCCCTAAATTAATGATGTCTTATCTGTGGAGGAAATACAGTGTGAGGACTGACTGGGACCTCCGAGTCTTATAAAGCACTTGTGGAGCATCTAAATATAGTCAGACATGACTCAACACTCCGCTTGTCATTTAATGGGCAGATTGCTTGTATTTTTTTCCACTGGTTTCCAAGGAAACCAAAATCAGGCCTCTTGACACTTTACTGTATCGGCCCCAACTCACTGTAAGCTGGTAGTTTTCGACAGAGGGGAGTGCCTGCAAGGTAAAAAGCATCACTGAGTTTTTACGTCATAAAAGTTCCTTCAGCAGATCTCACATTTGTCAGAGCCATAAATCTCTCCTTTATGTCAGAGTTCTATGTAAAAAGGTGTGACTCCCTTTCTTAGCCTGTAACTTTGAACTGTTTGAGGCTTTCATTCTGGTTTATGATATGGTACGCCCATCATGTACACCCATCACAATAGAAGTAAGCAATCAGCGTACTTATCTGCGTGTTTAGCTCCAATTAATCACAATTTGAAAACACTTTAAATACGATATTATATAGAAAAAAAGACACGATGACGTCAAAGTTTATTTCCACTAGAGCTGACCTTTGGCAAATATGTGTTATAATCGTTACCCTTTGGTGTTTCTCTGCCCCAGGTATATTTGTCATAAACAGTATCTCAGGCAGAAATGATCTGGTTTTCATTAGAACTCTGAGAAGTGACCAACTCCATTCTGACCATTTTTTTTAAAACTACACTGACTAGCATGAGGACCTTTTAGCATGTTGTTATTTCTTAGACGGTGCCAGAGGTTCAGATAATAATTAATATCATCAGTGTAGTGAAGTAACATTTCTTTTAATTGACACATTCATTTTAATTTTTGGGAAATGATGCTCAGTGCCTCTAACAATTCCAAGAGGGGACGACGGCTTCATCTCAAAAACAAAGTGACATGTTTCTGACTGATTCCTCCAGACAGTGACTTCAAAAAGTTTGGGGAAAGTTGTGGGCTCCGATTGATGTCCATGAATGAATGAATGCAGCTTCAAACTATGTGTTTTTGAGCAAGTTCCAGTAAATGATGGCCACCAGTATGAGTGTGCATGCTGCAGCTGACCCTGAGGTCGTCACATGAAAGCCGTCTCGACAAACTGAGGCAACACCCTCAGCCTAATTTGTCCAAATACCGTGCGCCAAAAATGACTATGATCTAACAGAGTTCTTCATTTTTATTCCGTAAATTGCTTCATTGTCTCATGTCTACCTCTTTTGGGTTCATTTTTTGCAGTAGAGAAAGGAGTAAAAGGAAAAAACCAAAATATAGACAGTAAATCTTTGAAAATATTGCATTGGTAATGCAAACCACAAGCCACAACAATAAAACAACAACAAACTTGTAGGATGTTGCTGTGTCGAGCAAGAACATGTAATTATCCATAATCGTGTATTTTAGTAACCCATGTAGTACTGATTTATCTACCACAGTGTGTATCATCTTATATTAATCATGACGCAATAAGTTTACATGTTTTCTGGAGCAACTGCAATTTGGTGGGAAAGTATCTCTGTAAATTGCAGCTTCTTCTAAGACAACACTGCTCAGGCGAAATGAGACCGGAAAGAGTTTCGTGCTGAAGGTGACGCAACGCATACTTTTCCTCCCCATTTGTAACGGATCAAACTTGAACCCCAACATGTGCGTCAGAGATGGCGGCCCAGACAGGGTGTGGGGAGGACAGGCTAATTGAAAACAGATATGAGTGGAAGTGATGTTTGGCTTCGTCAGACTCTTGGTTTGGTCCCAACATTTTTCTTTACTCCTTACCATGACTCATTAAGGCGCTGTAACTGTATAGAAATAATTTTTTTTTTTTTTGTAAATCACCTCAGACCTCTGAGAGCCACATTTGCTGGTTTACAGTTTAGACAAAGTATCCATGGTAAAATGTTGCTATTGAGACTAAACATGGAATCATATTTTGAAATCTGATGAGTAACGTTGATGCTGCTCTTGAGGAAACAGACACTTTTACTCATGTGAGAAAAAACATTTGTCTGCCAAACAGTTGTTTTAACCACAGTCGGAAATTACTTCAGATAGGGCGGAAGGGTTTCCTGATGAGCCCATGGTATTGTCATCTAGTCAAAGACGGCCGATGCACAACAGCAGCTAAGTGGCAGTGGAGAGGAGAAATTCTAATTATCATAAGAAGCATATATTAGGATGCCTTAGATGACCATAATATTATAAGTTGTAGTCTGACTTCCATCAGTTGCACTGAACAGAAACAACTCTTCTCGGAGCCTCATTTGTCACCAGGATGAACAGTGATGTAGGAGAATATAAATGTAACTTAAGTGAAAGTGCTCAAGTTTGCTCAATCAGCAAAATGTACTTTAAGTACAATAAAAAGCACTTATGCAGAAAAAAGAGTCCTTGTGATATTTCTACTTTTATAACTGCTATTATCATTCTCATTCTACTATAGCCGCTGCTACTGTTGTTTGTTATAGTAATCATTTTTCTGTTACTATTTCTGCTCCTACTGCTCTCATTATATATACAGTATATCTATAATTTCTGTCATTTGAATTGATTATGTTGTAATTGCATTATGTTTTTTATTCTGTACACATGACATCTGTTGCACTTCTGTCCCTCCTGGGAGAGAAATCCCTACTCGGTTGCAATCCCTGAGGTTTCTTCCATTCTTTTCCCAGTTAAAGGTCTTTTTGGGGAGTTTTTCCTTATCCGATGCGAGGGCCCTGGGACGTACAATGTCTTGTACATACTGTATTGCTAATGGCTATCTAAGAACACAAGTTTAATGTCCTTGTGAGTGTATGTGCCCGTGGACTCATTGCTGTATATACAATTATATAACAAATCATATTCAAGCACATTTCCTCTCATTGTTTATTTAATCCTTATTTTGAGCTAAGTTGTCATTATGAACATGAACTTTCCATTGGGAATCATCCTCATCCACACCTAACATCAGAATGTAGATCATTTATCCTAAGCCCAGAAACGTAAAGATGATTGACTGAAGGGCACTAGACATTTGAAAAAAAGAAAAGCTCTTTGGGTGTTGATCTGTTTGAGCAACCGGTAACACCTTGTTCATGACCTTATTTTTGTATTGAACATAAATATTTATTTAGTCCTGCATAAGTTTTGCATCAATGGGATTGTGACAGCTCTGCTCCCCCTATAAACGACAGCTCCACAATCGTTTGTTAGTATTACAAAACAAGTTGTTCTTGTTGCACCTTTACGGCTCGCCAAAATGCTATGAGCAAGAACTGCACTCTACATGTAAGGCCTTAATATTTCCATTTAAAACAGAGATCATAGTTTCTCATAAAGTCATATCATTCATTTGAATGTGATTTTAAAAAAAAAAACTGCTGTCCCCCCTCGGCTCATATAACTGGTTACAGGTTGCCTGCCTTGCTTAAAGATCCTCCTAATCCCCGGAGCTTCATACTGATACTGAGCATGTTATTTACATTATTTTTACACTTCTTAAATCATACGAGACACAAGCGTCTTAACTCCAAATGGAATATTGTTCTATTGAGCTCCGTTTAGGTTTTATTGGAAGATATTAACTTTTTATGGAAGGTCTATATGTAAAGTAATGAACTTTTCCCCAAATGTGAATTTACTCGCATCACAAGATGACAAATTTCACAACACACAACACCATAAGAGATATAATAATAATAATATACCTCATGAATAAATACTCAAGCTAAATTGTTTTGAAAAAAGAAAAAGCCACAAGGCTGCCAGAAAAAAATGAGAGTAGGGATGGGAAAGGTGCGAGCACACTATATATAGAATAATAAATATATAATCAAATAATGATAAATCATCTCAGAACATCCATCCGCTAAAAAAAAAGAGCCTGTCCACTGGGGTTTTCAAAAGGCAGGGGAATATATTTTCTAGTTACAAAGCAAAATAAAATTAATGTCTTAGGTGATCTTCCTATGATTAGTTTTTGAATCAATATTGTGGCATCAACAACAACGTTCGTTGTTCGTGTTAAGTGACCTGAAATAGACAGAACATATTATTTATAGTTAATTTCAGTCACAAGTAAACCCAAGTTTACACAACTGAACCACCTATTCTGTGAGGCTGTCTACCAGCAAACCATGTGAGAAAAACCGTGCATTTTGCCTACATGGAAACATCTCCTTTCTTGTCTTCTGATCAGAATGTACTTTGCACCCAAATCTGTGACTTTACATTGTGCTTATTCTTGTAACTTAGCCTGACCCCACATCTGCTAGACTGTTCTTTGTAGATTTCAGTTCAGCCTTAAACACCCTACAGCCTCGTGTTCTCCTGAATACACTGCAGCTGATGAATGTCAACCCCTTCACTATTAAGTGGTACAACTCATTCCTCACCAACCGTACCCAGCAGGTCAGGGTGAACAGGACCTTGTCTGAACCCTTGACCATCAACACCGGAGCCCCCCAGGGGTGCGTCAGTTCACCAGTCCTGTTCACCCTTTACACAAATGAATGCACATGCAGCACTGCTAACAATTGCATGATCAAGTTTTCGGATGATACAGTCATCCTGGGTCTCATGTCTGACACATCGGATACAGCTGTGTACAAACATGAGATTCAGAACTTTGTGCAGTGGTGCGACAAACACTTCCTCATCCTCAACGTCAGGAAAACAGAGGAGATGGTATTCGAGCCCAAATACATTGGAGACCACTCACCAGTGGTTATTCATGACCAGAACATAGCACAGGTTGACTCCTACAGATACCTGGGCATACACATTGACAATAAACTGACATGGAGTGTTCAGGTAGAAAATGTCTGCACTAGGGTCCAACAGCGGCTACACTTCCTTCGTAGGCTGAGGGTCTTTGGTGTCAACCAGAAAGTCTTGCTCCTCTTCTACCACGCCATAGTTGAGAGCGTCCTGCGGTTTGGCATCTCGGCCTGGTTTGGCAACCTCAGTGTACAGCTGAAAGCCCAGATCACCCGGCTAACACAAAGAGCCATGAAAACCATGGGAGTCAGACAGCATCCCACACTCCAGGCCGTCTTTGATGAAACTATCATCAGACAGGCTGAGAAGATTATTTCAGACCCCACTCATATCCTCCACCCTGAATATCAGCTTCTTCCCTCAGGGAGACGCTTCAGAATCCCCCAGTGCAGCTCAACCGCTTTAAGAACTCCTTTGTCCCCTTGTCCATCAAAGCCCTAAATGGCAAGCTAGCCAGAGCTTAAGCCCTGTAACACCGATTTTTATTTATTTTTATTATCTTAACTGGTGCGTTGTACAACGGGCAGTGTGAAATGTATTTGTTGGCTGGTGGCAGTCTTTTGCATGTACTGTAGGTACTGTGTGTGCGGATATGTGGACTGGCAACAGTCTGTGTATGTAATGTGTTATTTGCATTGTTTTAACAGCAGACACTGTATGTATGTTTCCAAGACAAATTTCCTTTGGGACAATAAAGTCTATCTTATCTTATCTTATCTTATCTTTGATTATGTACAATTTGGACATTCACGGCCCACTGATGTTAGTAAATATGCTCTGGTGTGTAGCGTGAAGCCTAATTTGAGGTCAAGTTATATTTTGCCTTGCTTATCAGTGTGTGGCCCTTATACTGTATTATGTAATTGTACATTGATTTACCAAGTCAAGTTTTTTGTTTTTCCCTGTATATAATGCAATCTTGATTCAAAGAGAACAGGACAGTACACATTAGAAAAATATTTTATTTTTTCCTTTCTATACAAGTTCTCAAAACCATAAAAAAAATTCCGGCAATTTCCAGGCATGTAATATGACACTAAACAACGTGCATGTTACACACATCCTTAGAGTAGGTACAGCAACTACATAAAGGTTTCATGTTTCAGTAAGATACTCCATATTTTGATCCACTGCCATCATCAACATTGTCCAGTTTTCTCATAGAGGTACAGTTTATTTTTCTCTGCTTGTGCATTTTTCCTACTGCGCAATACTTCAACTGCCATTTTCTGTATTTTCAAGTAAATGTGCAATGCTGCAGAAAGTGTCATCCAGGATCCAGTGCAATAACAACAACAGTGGTACATGTATGGTCATAGACCGACACAGTCAAGCAAGTGGAGTTCATTGTGTTGTTAAAGTAATCTACTGTACATTCACATACGTGGACATATTGTCTGAATATTTTTAAAAATATATAAACCAAGATATATTGCCCACACCTTTAAATACTTTTTTTTTAATCTAAATTGCAATTTTCCCAACTTGAGATATCATGAACAAATATCTGATGGAAAGCGATCTCGTCCATAAGAGAAACCTGAGAAGTGCATGGGCTCAGAAGCCCTCAGTACAGTTTCCTTGAAATGTGCAATACGAATATGAATCAAACATTTGCCCTTAAATATATTCATCAATATAAACAATATTCATTCTTTTTTTTTTTTTAGGTTCGATGGTTTAGCTGCATACCTGTCCATTATTTAATGACATCTTAGACAAAATAAATAAATGAAACCCACTTAATATAATAAGGTCAGTGGTTGAATTTTAATAAATTATTATCCTTCTCTTAGTTCTTCACAGGTCCATTTGGATCTACACACTCAATGTGTAACTTTGGACGCGTTTCCTACATGACTTGCGGAACCACACCCAGTAGAGGGATATCATAAGCAGCCAGTAGAACGTGTATGCCACAGAGCCAAAGATGATGAACCTAGTCTCTAGTATCTTGGCTTCAGTGAACCAGTCCTTTTGACTCTCCTCGTAAATTCTGTAACCAAGCCCACTTAGTAAAATGGCTACCCACACTGACAGCGGGAGGAGGGGCATGTAGTTTCCAACAATCTTACGTCGGCCTGATGTCCCCCAGCTGCTTTTGTTCATGGTGATAATGGCAAAGTACTTAGCAGGCAGCAGGCTGGTCATGTACAGAGCCGAGTAGAGGGACATAAACACCATCACCATGTCTTTGCGCAGGATGCAGGCGTAAGCCGCTTTCACCAGCCCAATCAGCTGGATGCAGCACAGGATCCAGAGGATGTCCCACAGCGTGCCTGTCCAGAACAGCTGGATGATGGTGGCGGTGACGAAGAAGGGGAAAATGCCTGAGACGATGGACTCGTAGGTCATCCAGAGGTGGTGCTTGTGCCACCACATTGCATTGTAGAGCCACTCACGGAAATATGATTTTGTCCAGCGAGTTTGCTGGTTGAGCCAGCGTAGAAACTGAGCAGGTGTCTCCGTGTAGCATTTGGAGCGGGCTGTGTATCTAAAGGAAATGGCAAAAAAATAACATCTATGAAACCTTTATCATGACAGCAAAGATTGCACTATCAAGATAGTTGCGTCTGATGCAAGCATCTTACTTTGTTGCAAAGCCCATGCTCAGCATTCGATTGGTAAGATGTCTGTCGTCACCAAATGTGCAGTGACTTCCCAAAAACTTCTGATTGTACCAGGACTCCAGAAACTGCTGGAGGAGATTGTTCCTGTACAGACCTTCGTGGAACAATTCAGGAATTAGTTACAATGAGTTACAAGAGTGCATTAAAGCCATGACTACCACTGCTTGACATGTAGAATGATTACTTTGACCAATGTCAGAGGGGGAAAAAATGTATTTTCCTTACCCAAAGGACCACTTATGCAGGACACACAGTTGAAGTAGGACTGGCAGGACCTTTCGATGTTGAAAGCCATCCAGTACCTCAGACTGCTCATGAAGCTGATGTAGGACTCTTTCAGGTTGAGGATCATCACATCTCCTCCCACAGCACCGTACTTGGGGTTACTTTCCAACACTTTGCACAGCTCCACGGTGGCCAGAGTGTCCAACTTGGTGTCTGAGTCACACACCTGGGGGAGGGAGAAAGAAAGTCTCATTCTTAAAAAATGTTTACAGTAAAAGTTTCTTAACATGAGGAATATGAATTATAATAGATACCTGTATGAAGTCAACTGATGACCCGAGTGCTTTAAACGCGGTGTACATCACCTCCCGCTTGCCGCCCCACTTCTGCATGATGCACACGCAACTCTTGCTCTGGATCAGCTGCTCTACCTCTTTTCGCTGTGGATCCTCAACTATGATATGATCAGCATCCTTTCCTGGGCCCATTTCCACATCCTCCTGGGCCTGGGTGGGGTCCCATGTATGGTAGTTGTTCCTCCACACACAACAGCCAGGGTCCATGTCCGCAAACACCTCCCTGAACATCTCCATCATATACCGGTCATCGTCTGTGTTCCCATCGATCACCATGATGATGCGGAGCAGCTCAGCAGGATACTTGAGGGCCCTGATGGAGTTAAGGCACTCTCTAAGATAGACAGGGTCCTCCTGGTAAGCTGAAATAGTGAAGCCAATGGTTTTGGTGAAGGTGCACGGGTATGTGAGAGCTTTCATTCGACGGTGCTCAATAAAGGCGAAGAAGCTCTGGACCAACATGTGGAGCGAGAGGAGTAGTCCATAAAAGCCAAAGGAGATGATTCCATACATGGAGGTCACTAACTGGAAACCGTCAACGTATGCCCACACCATCATGCCCAGGACCACCAGAGCAAAGGTGAATGTGAAGATGGTGCGAAGTATTGAGCCAAGCTTCTTCAGTAAAGGTTTTAGCTCCATTGTGCTTCTTTACCTAACAGAGCACAAAAACACCACATATATGGTTTAGTCATAGGGTATAGCTTGTATGTGCGTAAAGGATTCCTACTGGTCTTTGTCATGCTAAAAATGTATGCAGACACTCATTGTGGTTTTGGGGAAAATGGTGTTTTAAATGGAGTTGTTTTATGTGGACTGTTGTAAGACATGTTAAGAAACAAGTTGGAAAATAATACAGCTGGCATACACAAAGCTTTAAGCTCAAGGCTAATGTTTTGGTTTTTTTAATCCTTATTGCCAAGACTGTTAAACGTGAATATCACTGACAACTGTGCCCTATAGAAACACATGTAACAGTTTAGGTAACATAATAACAGTAATAACATAGAGGCTCAGAGGGTCCAAGAGACTAATAGTTTGTTGACATGAGTTACCATTCTTTTATTCATTTTATTTACAGGGTTATTTGAATGTAGCTCATTCAATTATATCATATTTATATTACTGTTCAAAGCACAATAATATGACATAATCTTTTTTAAATGCTTGTATGTACATATTTAAATTATTATCAGATTCCCTACAAGCTACTAAATCAACCCACACCCATAAAAAAACATTATTCTGATAGAAATCCGTAGCTGACCAAAAAAGTAGCTGCATAAGAAAACACGGTATTGATCAATTGACTAAATCAATACTAAATTAAATAATAAATAAATAAACGGATAAATACAGCATTAAATGTAAAAGTATCATGAATCTTACCATGGCAAAAAAATCTGATGTTTTTAGTTTTCTTTTTTTTTAAATCAATTCAAATCATTAATGACTTACCGTGAATCTACAGACATTATTGGGCTATATTTCAACTACAACCAAACTCTAGTAATTATAATCTGACTACTGTATTTCTGAGTTTATACATATGGCTAATTCATCAGCAAAACAGCAATTAAAAAACGTGGCTAAACACATGACAAAGTTATTTATTTTCATCCTTACCTGATGTCAAGTTCCGCTGGTGTTATTTGCAAGACATCCACTCGATGCTTTCTCTTGTATGGCAACCTGCCGTGAAGTTGGTTGGCTTTATAAACCTCTAGGTTGAACGCGGGATGGAGCCATGTACGCGCTTTTTATGGTGGTCCCATTTTCATGGGAATTATCAATTACGCGCGCTCCCGCTGACTCAGTTGTGCGTCAGGAGCAAGGCGGTGGTCCCGCTGACTGAGCGCGCGGTGCGTTACGTCTGGGACCTCTGACTGTTTCCTAAAAAAAGAGGTTCCCAAACTAAGCAGTGTTTCTGTTTGGAACCTCTAGGGGGACTTTTTGGGGTTGCCTATTGTGAGGTTTGTTCTTATCTTGACCACAATTTCCTTTTTTACAGCCAACCTAAAGATCTAACATTAACCTAGACCTATTTTAATAACACCAATACATTTTATTTTATTTCATTATATCACCAGCTGTAGCTTATAGATGTATTTTTAGACGAATATTGTAAAAGTTGCACTCAGTACTACAGTATACTTACTTGTACTTTTATGCTACTTTTTATTTCTACTCCACTAAATTTGTGAAGGAGTTATTGTACTTTTTACTCTTTAGTAACTAATTACTCCACAGATTTAGATTATTAATAATAAATCATCTAATTGATTATGATATGTTATTCTAGGTTATGCTACGCAGCAGTATTTATAGTAATTATAAATAGCCTCACCTTTATCAGCTGCAATATGTAGTGATGAACACATTGATCATCCAGTGGTATATATAATGTATTATTCTGAAATGAGCCATTCTGCATATTGAGTACTTTTACTTTTGGTTCTTTAAGTATATTTTGACACTTTTTTACTCTTACTAAAGTGAAATTTTGACTGCAGGACCTTTAATTGTTACAGAGTATTTTTACACTGGTGTATTTACAAAGGTTCTGAATACTTCTTTCACCACTGATATTGAAGTTGAAAGTCTCAAAGTTATTCTGTTTCGCCAGAAACTAAACAGAATGCCAGGTATTCAATCACATTAACCTTGAGAGAGAAAAGATAAGAATCCCCAGAAGCTGCTATCGAGCTTGTACACTTGTTGGATGTTGCCCTCTGCTGGCTCCTATCTGAAACTGCAAAAGGCAAGACACCAAAGTGATAGTAAAGTAACAGCAACACTTTTCGTTGTGAAGTGTATTGTGAGAGGAGTCAAAGCTGGTGTCACTGAGGAAAAGGAAGTCTTCTCTGCTCCGTCCTACTTATCTGTGACTTCAGAGGATTAAAGCTGCCCCTTCTGGTTCACTGAGTTGCTACCACTGACCTGACTTAACCATGATTACATCCCTGGAGAGTTACTTTACAGGGAAATCTGTTGACCGCTTATGAGGGTCCACACCCTTAGCCGCAGGAGCTGGCCCGGGCCGTCAACACGCTCCAAGTCGGACCCAAATATAGAAGCCACCAGGCTGCTGATGTCATGTGTGGAGGCTGAGCCAGTCAATGTGTTTAGGGACAGCAAACGAACGGTCTCAACTTTCTGCACGTTCTGTGAGCTTTTTCCGTGAGATCTGTATGTTTTTAGTATGTGCTTCACAACACTGTATGCTTCTGTGACATTGTTTTATCACTTTTAATCCATCATCTCCAATATATTGTCATCTTTTTCTGTTAAATTGCAGAAGGTGCTTTTTCAAAATCTTTTCACATATTATTATTATTAGATTATTACAATCAGCTTGTCAACTATTTGCCTTTGTTGTTCCTTTTATAGCTCCATTTTCACAGAAAGGTCATGGCTAAACTGCTGGGTTCTTCTGTCGTGTCCCTAGCAGTCGCTGAGGGACAAACTGCATTCGTCTGTGGCCACATCAAGAACATGTTCTCTGAAGGACACTGCAGAAGTAAAAGGACTATTTTACCAAGCTGCCATAACTTCTAAGTTTGTAAACATAGTTTGTGAAATTCTGTATAGGATTCAAAACATGGACATCTGTGTTGCCAGAATAAACATCTTCTGCAAAGCCATGTTTTCAAAAATATAATAGTGCAGCATCCAGCATGCTTCACAGCAATAAAGGCTATTTTTTGTACATAATTGAGTCCTCGTTAGGCCTCTTTATTCGGTGGTCAAGAAAATGCCCGGTGACTCACCCCGCTGCTCTGAGCCACACCCAAGCAACCAAAATCTGCCATTTTGTGATCGAGTGTTCTCATATGTGCACCTGTTGTTGATTGCCAGTTTGCGCCCTTACACAGAGAGGTTACAGAGCTGGGACGCTTGCAGGGAGTTAAAGTGTCTTGCACTACATACCTACATACCTCCTTTAGTGGCTCAAAATTGAAAGCTCTGGTTGACAATGTCTTCCTATATTTTCATTTTACTCCAAACACAACCTGCACCAACATTCAGGCCGAAATACAGCTCAAGAAAAGTTACTGCGTAGCGAACTGTACCACATTTGTAGCAGACAGTAGTGGTCCAACCAGTGATCATGGAGTGTGGCCAGAGTGTGCAACATGCTTTACAGTTTCAGCCCACAGAGAGCAGTGTAGCAGCATTTTTTTTTTTGCCCTTTGTTATTTACTGTTGGTTGACTGTAAATGTTAGGTTTGTTCCTCAACTGCTCTGTGTTCTACCGAGGCATCCATGAGCAAGAAACGTGTCTGCCCATTCATTTTGAAGTCATTTTGAGTCAGAGCTCATGGAGTCCAATAATGTGGCAGCATGGGAGGCAGCTATTTACACTCTTAGATACTTAGATAGATGCTATTTTACATTGCTGCTTACCAAAGCTATGAATTATGGTGCTGAGCACAAGTGAATTTTCAGACACAATTGCTTTAGACACCTGCAGTGCAATTTAATCAATTTACTGTAATGTAAAGTCTGGGTGTTTAAGGCAAAAGACAGGATGTTATATTCTTAGATACTGTCATTCTAATGACTCACAGATAGACCTGTACAAACCACACAGTACACACAGCTCGTCACATAGTTGACTTTACTGTCTGTTCACGTGTGAATTCTTTGATATCTTTGCTGCTCAGCCAGACGCCATGGTACTCTTGATCCAGGAGCTGTAATTGCAAACTTTTGTGTACACCCCAGGCTTATTTCTCAGAGCGCAGCCATGCCCCCAAGACACAACTCCCTGGAGTTCCCCATGGGACCCCCTGAGTCACCCTGAAGATGAAATAAAAGTATTATTGGTAAATAAAATGATTATCTTAACTGGTACATCCTTTCAATCAAGAGGCAGACACACTTTTTTTGTGTTACAGCAGCCATGATCTCTAGAATACCTGGCAGGAGTCTTTTCCTCCCTCCAGATAACCAGCACAGATCATATTTTCAGTGATTTGGAAAGGATATGAATTAAAGCATGTGTCATCGCTCAGGAGAGGGGCGTCCAGGCACTGCAACTGATGAGGGTACCTCGCTGGAAAAAGATGGCGAAAGGGTGTTTTTATGAACAATAATGGCATAAAATAGCATTTTTGGAGCCTTCTCAGGCAGTCAGATAGTTTGTCTGTAACTCACAGCCCTCATTACTGGGATGAAGACTCCCCCATCCAGAGATCTGGCACATTGTTCCTTCACTGGCACACTTTGAAGGGAGCGTAGCAGGGCGTACATAGCTGTTCAGAGTGGCAGGTTGACTCAGCTTGATCAGCATATCACTGTCCTGTGTGCGCGAGTTGTAGTCAGGGTGGCGAATAAACTTGGCAGACATAATGTGCTGTTCAGTCCCTTCAGGTTCCCAGATGTCCCAGACGAACTTCTACATCTGACCTGGAAGAAATAAATCCATCTTTAAGGTGACTTTGGAAAACCACAAGGGGGAAAAAAAACAATATGAATCCATTAGTGTTAACCAGCTGCTAAGGTTTTGATTTACATGCTGTGAACAGAGGTTAGCTTTCTTACTTTGTTTGGCAGTGTGCAGCAGAGAGCACCCACTCATCAGACAGAAGAGTCCCGCCACAGAAGTTGTACCCAGTGAAGAGAGACACTTGGTAGGGCACAGAATTGTTTCGACACTCATACCCTCCTACTATTTTGTTATCTTCCTTCAGGGCAGCTGCAGCTGTAAACAAAAGTAAACATAAAGAAGGAACAAAAACAGGAAAGGAGGTTGTCAGTGAATTGACATCTATCATACCAACACGTGAGACTGTGGCACCATTCGATGCCCCCACAGTCTGACTTTTTACAGTATCTATCAATTCTGTACAATACCTGCCCCTCCAAAGAGAGTCAGAAGAAGAAACAGTTCCATGCCATCTGTCTGTCCGTCTGGCTCGCAGATTAATGTGACCTCACCCTCTTAGTTTCAGGTATTTTAGTCCTCTTATCTCTCTCTTATCGTCAGACGTACACCTCAAATAATGAACATGTGTTACATTTCCCCAGAACTCTGGGTTTAATGTACAGTATTCAGAAAAAGACAGAAAGACAAACTGGGAAAAACAGCTTAGATAAGTAAACAATTTGAATTGCAAACACTGACATTTGGAATTCCCCTTTGTCAGTATGCTTTGAGTCAGAGTGATTTTCATTAGATTTTGAGCTCACAGTTCTTAAATTTGAGCTCACTTTGGGATTAGTACATTTGCTTTAAAACTATGTCACTATGGCAATGACTTTCTGTACAACAGGTTTATTACACATATAAATTGTGGATAAGAGACGTGCACTGCCTTCAAGTGAACCACAAAGGGACGTTCATACTTGTGGATGTTGAGTAAGACTTGGTGTGTGGGTGTAATTATTTTGATTAAAGATGCTGTGGGCCACAGTAAAGGTGTGCCATCGCAAATGAGCCATTTGTAACATCCAGAGAACTCAGAAAATAACTTAACTAGAAGTATTTTACTTTTTTAATGGTCCTCTTCCTCTTACAAGAAAGGTTGTCTGCTTATCAGCGAGCTGCTGTCTGGAAAAAAGCAGGATGTAGCTGTGTTGCAATACATGGTATTAAATACTTCTGCATTGCTCAACCGTAACAAGAAATAATCCCACACAGAATTAAAATATATTCAGAAACTGTCTGACAGTGTCAGCTGTTTCAGTTTCCTGTAAGTTATCAGAAAAGTGTAATTTGTTGACAGTAAAAACATTAATTTTAGTAATTTTTTGTTAACTGTAACTAATACAACAATTGTGTTGACATTGTCATTATCTTCTATACAATTGTGAAGGTTTGGAGCATGTGCACAATTTTACTAAGTTAAAATAAAAATAGATTCCCTAAAGCAGAACTTTGTCTGACAGTTTCCTTGTACAATCCTGTGGTCAACTGCAATGTAACTTTTTCCTCGATCTCTCTGGTTGAGGTATGAAATATCCAAAGACAGTAAGACCTCTCAGAGGTTAGACATTGCAAAACTGCATGTCATTGCTGAGTCAATGCCTCAGAATGGATGCGTACTGAAAGGTACGAGGCTCCGTTGCTCATGTATGAGCATAGGTGTTCATCAGCACCAGACAGGAAAACATTTAAATGTGAGGGTACATTTAACCAAACCCTATGATTATACACTTAAGGCTAAAATATAACGCATTCCCATCCAGCACAGGCAAGTTCTCCCCCCATCATTACCGGGTGGCACACTCACTGTCTGCCTCGTTCCTTTTACAACCTGCGCATCACTGCTTGTAGTCCTTGATTGCAATCAAGTGCAACAACTTGGTGCATTCTGCCGAGAGACTTACTCTCTTGCAAAGATAAATAACGCCTCAGGTTGCATATGTGTTCACTGTTGTGTTTGTTTGCTGTTGGGATTTCACAAGACCTTCACTAGCGATACATTTTTCATTAAAGTGGCAATAGACATGTGCAGGCTGTGTCTGTCCCGGGCTAATCTCACATACTGCTGGACCCATCACTCTAATATTTTTTGGTCTCATTTTTGGCTGTGTTCTCAAGGACCTCTCTTGGTTGCAGTGATTCACACTTATTGAAAACATATTTTATTGACTCTTTTATCCTCATTTCTCTTAAACAGTCAGTGGGGACTGTAAGTGATCAACAGCTGCTTCAGTTTAAGACTCTTGTTTCCTCAACAATTAGAATTTTCCTCAAAAACTGTATGTATGTATGTATCTGTGAGTGTGTGTGTGTGTGTGTGTGTGTGTGTGTGTGTGTGTGTGTGTGTGTGTGTGTGCGTGTGTATGCATAACTACCACTTAGCAAATGACAAACTGAACTGAGCACTGAATACAATGGAGTGTGTCTTCTCATGTCATTAGACAGAGAGCAATAATAGCTTCTGTAGGAAGTGTTAAAAAGTGACCGTGAAGCATGACACAGTGAAATTTTAGCTGCACAGAGCAGGTGCAGACAGCTGCGTCAGTTAAAATGAAAGTGTGACTGCTGCTTGAAATGTGAAAAACGCGTCTGATACGCTTACTTTCTAGATAATTGTGGTTTGTATTCATTTAATTTAAACATTACAGCACAGTTCATCGCAGACACACCTGGCAGAGATCTGCATTAAATAAGGACACCATCGAAGTTGAGATTGGTTCCCAATAAGCTTCGCTTTCACTATGCAATTCTCATACTCGATTTACGGCGGGAAAAAAAAGGAAGCGCATCAACCACTGCACCACAAAAACAGGGAGAGCATGGTACTCTTGTTTTCCTCGGTAGCTATCAGTAGCTGTCCTCGGTCACCAAAAGAGTATCAATCTAAGTTGTATGCAGTTACTATCCCCAGTAGTGGAAACCGAAGTAACTGTGGAAAACAAAATGCAGTTTGTCCTACTAGGGGGACAATAGTTCAAAAGTTGTCTATCGCCACTTTAAGTTTTCAATAATATACTCAAGGCTACAGAATATTTCAAAGGCATTCATTAGAGAAAACTGCTTTGGCAAAATCATTCAAATGTGCAAGCAAAATGTCCCTGAGCTAATTGCCCTGAAACGTCTTTGATATAGACTCACATATGACACCCAGATGCTTGTTTTAGTTGCACATGTGCAAAACAGCATTCAGGATGTGATCCGCTGGAAGAATTAGGAAAAATTCTTTGCTGAATCTAAAACTGACATCGTTCTTAAATAATGACCGCAGTTATTTTTCCCCCACATGCGCCACCCTACCCCTTGGTTACAATATATGGAAAGGATCCAAACTTCCATTCATTTCACCATCTGTGCTCCCTGTTTAACAAGTTCCGGTTCCCCTAATCCCATTCCACTGGACCTCAAAATACCCTCGGAGAGACAGAGAGAGCACTGTGTCAGGGCACTGGATGACTTATGCATTGCCAGGCTTGTTTGCTGTCAGACAGAGGCTGATTATTCATATCCCTTAGGTCTGCTGAGGGGGACCAGGCGTTGTGGTTGAAAGTAGGGACGAATGTAAGGAAGTGGTTGAGGTTATTGCGGCTCAGCTTTTTTTTCCCTGTGTGTGGTGAATTTCGTGGAAAAAAAATGTTGCTGGCACCCGTTTCGACTTGAAAAACAAAATTCCTGACCTCTCCGCACCCATGAGACAAGGGTTTGATTTCCAGTCAGTGCCGCAACAAGATCAACAAACCTTTGAGGTTTTAGGACACTGCGGATTCACACTATGTGTGCCTTTATCATAGAGTCACGGGAGTCTCAACACAACAGTTAGTATACCAGCATTTCACGAAAGGAGTTGTGGATTTAGAAATGCTGTGAGCTCAGTGTTTTGCACTCCACAGCGACGAAAAATACTGGGTGTATTACAATGACGCTGGGAGCAGGAGTATGTCATTAGTACCACACTGTCCCACACACAGACACAAACAGACATGCATGCATTTTAGTTGTGCCTTTCAGGTTGCTCCCCCACCCTCCCAGCTGCTGCAGTGAATAATAAACCCCCAAACTCCAACTGCGTATATCACCCTCTATACTAAAACTGAATTCCCTTTAAACCTCCACCAGTTGTTTTACACACCCAAATTGGTATTTGTGCGGCACACACATAATTGCATGTTTGGTTGGTAAATCAAGAACTCTGGCAAGCCCTTGGCTCTGAAGGCTCCCCTCAAACTATAGCCTTGGGATAGCTATTAATATCTCCTACAGACACCAGTAAAATGATCTGCCTTTAAGTTCTGTTTCAAGACTATACAGCAGAAAATTCAAAAAACACATTTAAACAGAAAGGAAAAGTGGAGGATGTATTGCTCAAGAGGGTCAAAACCAAATAAAACAAAGTAGTCATGCTGTCTAGACTTTAGCTGAAACAGTAATGCCATTTACTGTTACAAATGGAGCTGACCAGTTCAGATTTAAAGCGGGTGATGAGGAAGGTATCTGGGTCAGCTTATTTTAACCTGTTTCCTGTCGTTAGAATATATTGGTTTTGGACCTTGTGTAAAATATGTCCCAGTGGGGACGAATATTCAGATGCTGAATGTTTATATATATATATATATGAAAAAAAGGCAATGATAACAGAGACATTAGTCCACCCACACACTCAAATAAGGGTGTTGCTCTGGACTCACGCAGGGATTGAGAGCATGTACAGAGACATATGTAGTGTCTCTCACTTTTTCACTCTCTCTCTCTCTTTCCTTCCTCCCCCTCACATCTGGACTATTGGCAGGACAGAGTTCCTGTGTGTACATCAGTAGGGGACTCACTTTTTAGGGTTGGGCAGGTTCTAGCAGCTCACACCATGTGAATCTGATCAGTTCAAGATATTGAAACCTCATTGTGTTTCACTGTGTGTACAACTGTTGTAGTGTAGAGGAGATGCTCCTTTGTCTGATTTTTTTGAATGGTAGATATTTATTTTTTATAACTCTTTCTTCAGTGGCGCAAATATTTAATGAAAGGGTCTCTTTTTTATTTTCCTAAATCCAGTTTTTTTTATTGTGCACTCAATGGAATGTCAATCAAACTAGTATTGGTTTATTGATTTTAAGAATGGCTTTCATCTTTTCTTTCAAATGAACTCTTCATTTTTGGAAGAATACAAATTTGTTTATTTCATGTCGAAGTTACAGTTTTGATTTGGGGCATAATATTTGTACAATGGATTTGTATTGTAAGTGGCCTAAAGTCTATAAATTCTACTTTCAATAAATTATGTGCCAACAAGTTTGCTTCTGTGGTAGATATTGGCTGAGTGCTTTTCAACATCTGTTTAATTCCTGTTGATTAAGTTTGCTTATCCAGATACCGTGCATAATGAGTCACATAAACTTAAAAATAATGAATCTTGCACACTGGTAATCTTGTCTCAACGTCAGTGTGGGGAAAGTGAAGAAACACAGATTACTGCATCCAGGAAACAGTCCATTCATCATGTTTTGCAATATTCCACATAACATTCTAAGAAAAAAAAAAATGTAATCACAACCATGTCTTACAGATGCTCAAATGTGTGGGTAGTGGAGCAGAAAAGACGAGAGTAAAGAGGAAACATGTGGGAGGAAATATGACCATGAAGACCATCTCAGATGAAGCATTTCTTCCCCACTGAAAGGTAGGGCTGTACTCTGGGGACATTAGACTGATTTTCAGTCTCCTTCAGCCAACACTCCCCCATGTCCATGCCTCCAGCCACTTAAACAACAAAAAATGTTCATTGCACTGCACAAACTTTCAGTAAGTCTGGGCGTTTTTTCAGTTCTTTCGAATCTTGTGGATTGCCCTGTTATTTGTTGTTTTTAACTCTTCTAATTATTTAGCTAATTGGTAGTTCCATGTTATTGCAAGGTTTTGGGATAGATCAAAATGTTCAGGAATCTGAGAATCTGACTCGGATATATCTGGAGTAGCTACAAAAGCAACAGGAATGTTCCAGGCAGGCTTTAAAAGATGCAATTGCTTAGATTTACTGCTTAGATTTGCTTCAGGGTGGGTTCATGAACTCCCTTTTGTTTTAAAGTTGCAATCGGGTCTGCGGTTGGTTGCCATTCCCATTATGTAGCGATGCCTACACTTATGCACCTTTACTGTACATGTCAGAGGTTTTAGGAATGCATGGTTCAGTGCAATGAGTGACCAAGAATATCCCATCTAATCCCAACTTCATGCGACATGAATTCAGGACAGATCTCTCTGTTTGCAGGTTTGAATCTACAGAAGCACCGCGGTTATGTGTCCAGCTTCAAGTGGACAGTGGCACGGAGGGTGTAGCCTGCAATTTTTTTTAAACTGCACGGCAACCCTAAATTATTGACAGATGCTGCTGTGACTTTCTTACACGTGCTGCAGGTGAAGAGAAGGGACATGTATCCCACACGATCAGATGCTGATTCACATATTCAACACAGAGCAATCCCACTTAACCTCAAGCCAACGTGAGGTCAACCCACATAGAGAAAAACACATTACGCAACAGGGTCACTGATGCACATGAGAAGTCACAACTCCACTCATTCTCAGGTAGTCATCTCAACAACCTACAATTGATGTATTTAGTTGTTTGGTTACTTGCTGTTTTCACTTTTGGAGTTTCCCAAATAGGCTCTATCTTTGGCATTTGAAGAAGGCATGTCTTGGCAGGATTTTAGGTCAGATTAGTAGCAGAGCAGCACACTTGCAGAGACAGCAGCATGTAGGCCTATATAATATCTGTATATTACTGTCATGAAGTTCACATATATACTGCATCTCCATGCTGTATGCATAACACATCAATAAAGCAAAGATTGTGTTTCGTATACGGTTTAATGGCCTTCAAAGGAGGGGGGGGGGCGTGCCGCCTGAGGTCCCGCCTCAATATGAGCGATGACGTCACATATTTAAGGGGTCACGGATCAGAACTCCACGACTTCCACGGACTAGTCAGACTCGTCCGGTGTGTCTTTTCCAGCGGACACATCCTCATCGGACAGGCGCTTTTAGGTAGGTGCTGTACCTTTGTTCTCTTCAGAAACCTTTGCTCTGCAAGAAAGTCGGTAAAAGCATCTGATGTTGGCTGTGGCATGCTCTGGCAAAATTCTTAGTTTGGAATTTGCAGAGAGATGCTGCTCTTCGGGGTCGACAAAAGTCTTTGTAAGAAATTGACAGTGCAAATCGCCTACTTAATGAAGCCCATAAACTATAGCAAAGGGTGTGGGGACGTTTGCTTTTATTCAACAGAGTGGTTTTATTTTCTGTGGCGAGACTCGGATTTACAGATTTCTGTTCACGTTTCATATGTGCACCGATTCATTTCATTCACTGGGAAAATTGGTGCACGTTTTGCGTGCGTGTCTAAGTGTTGCATGTTGTTCAATACTTTTCAAGTTAGTTTATTTATTCATGTTTTGTTATGAAGCCTCTAACTAGCATAGATAGTTGGGAAACTTTCTTCAAAACGCCATTAAGACGTTCTTTATTGTCTATTGTGCCCCACAATTCAAGTGATGTCTATGTGAACAGCATCATCTGGGGGCTTTTTTGCGAGCTGACATATGTGAAGGTACAATTTGTCATATTCAGGAGTGGACCGAAGTTTTATGTTTTACGAAAAGTATTTAGGAATTATTAGGCACATTTATTGACCTCTGGTTAAAGTATTTTTTTTTTTACATTTTTTTTTTTTACAGCAGGTCTCAAGACAACAATGATGGAGCTAATGACTGCTAACCCTTTCTCTCACAACAATACATCCGACACCACTGGAAGAAATGTCTCTTTGTATGACGACGATGAAGACGAGTATGACTATAAGGACGAGCACGCTGAGCTGAGACAGTCTCTCAACATCATGTCTCTCATCGTTTACTGCCTGGCCTTTGTTCTTGGTGTGCTCGGGAATGGAGTGGTTATCTGGGTGACCGGCTTCAAGATGAAGAAAACAGTTAACACAGTTTGGTTCCTCAACCTCGCCGTGGCTGACTTCCTCTTCACAGTGTTTCTGCCCCTGAGTGTGACCTACACAGCTTTGGATTTCCACTGGCCTTTTGGCAAGTTCATGTGCAAACTGAACAGCACAATAAGCTTTCTGAACATGTTTGCCAGTGTCTACATTCTGGTGGTGATCAGTGTGGACAGATGTGTGTCTGTGGTGTGGCCCATCTGGGCCCAGAACCACCGAAGTGTACGCAAGGCATCCTGTGTGAGTCTGGGTGTGTGGGTGCTGGCTCTGATTCTTAGCACTCCATACTTCATCTTCAGGGACACTGGGCCGTCATATGACAATGAAGACATCATCAACTGCTTCAACAACTTTGCTTTTTCTGATGACTATGAAACTCCATCTGTGAATCAGCTGCGACAGTTTCGTCATCAGGCCATGACCATCACCCGCTTCCTGCTGGGATTTGTTGTCCCCTTCACCGTCATTGTCTCCTGTTATGCTGTGATAATCCATCGTCTCAGAAGAAACCGCACTCTGGCCAGCCACTCAAGTCGCCCCTTTAAGATCATCGCTGCAGTTATCACTATTTTCTTCCTGTGCTGGGCTCCTTATCACATCATGGCTTTAATTGAGTTGGTGAATCACATGGCTAATCATGCAAGTGAGATATTAGACCATGTCACCACTATTGGAGTCCCTATAGCAACCAGCCTGGCCTTTCTCAACAGTTGCCTGAACCCACTGCTGTACGTGTTCATGGGCCAAGATTTCAAGGATAAAGTCCGCAAATCCATCCTGAATGTTTTGGAGACTGCCTTCCAGGAAGAGGTTTCTCGCTCTTATACCTACACAAACTCAATGGTCACCAGTCGGAGCAAAGAAAAGTCTGTTTCTGATGCCGAGGTATAAGGCTTTCCATGGTTTAAAAAAACAAATACTGTAACTGTAAATAGCAAATGTAACTGTATATAACAAATACCTTGGCTTCTGTTGTTGTTGTTTGTTATCAAAGGACCCTCAAGGCGATCTGTATACATTATCTAAAATTGAAACATGACACCTGTTACCGTTTGACTTATATGAGACTTATAATTGGCAACTTCACCGACAGTATTTACAATCTGGTAGAGCAGACAAATGGTAATATTATACAGTGACTTCTAGATCTATGTGTCATGCATTTGTGGGATAAAGCATTTTTAATTTATGGAAAGGCAAAATATTTTTTATTAATAATAATAAGGCTTATTTATGTAGAGCTTTACAAGGGAGAAACCAGAAATACAATAACATTCATGCATAAATAAACACATGAGGACAACTTTACCCAAATTAAATAACCTACAGAGCAAAAGGCTACAATCATCTTTTGAGTAACAATGGTGCTTCTTCACTTCACAGTCCTGATGTTGCCTGCAATTTGACTCACAGCAGGATCCTTAGTTTCTACCATACTAGACCGAGTGGATATGTATTGTGCCATCTTTTTCATAATTTGAAAATAGATATTACATCAGTTTATGGTTTCATTTGTGCAACACAAGCAACAAGTATCTAAGATTTAGTACATTATGCCCCAGCCTGTATGTGATGGCAAGGAAAACCAGCAATAAAACAAGTCCTAGTTGTTTATAGGCCAAGATTGTAGACTATATTAATAATCTAAAAGTCTGGCACATCACCTCAATAGAATATTTTGACAAAGAACACAATGCATTTCTTGCCATAGAATATAGTAGGTTGCAAACTAATGCACTGAAGAGTAATAATAAAGAATCTACAGTGTGACATAGTGATGAGGAACCACTGACAGACGTATAGCAAATTAATTTACCAACTCTCCCCTTACCACTGATCCCATTATGTGTGGACATGACAAAACTGGGCACATGACCACAAAGACCATCTTTGGTACAAATTACACGACCTAGTTACACTAGATTTTGCTTAACTCATTTAGTCTAGTCATTTTGCCTGTAATGTCATCTTGTAATGTCTATTTCTTATGTCGCCTGCCATTTGGCATCAGATACTGATTCAACTGACTTGTTATACTGCATGCTTTGATAAACGCCGAATAAATACCTTTTATAGTGACTATGATTTTATAAGGTTTAAAGTAGAAGCTGCATTTTATATTTGGCTTGGTTTAATCTTTTGATCATTGTTAGTTACTTTTTGGGGAGATTGTTTTCTATTTTCATTATATCGATCTATCTGCCAGTTTTGTACTTTCCTTTACTCTACTACATGTCCAAGGTGACATCTATAAGTGTCTTGTTTTGTCCGACCAACAGCAAAAACAAACAAAGTTGATGAATTAAAATATTTAGATTACTATTAAAAAAGATAAAGAAAAAGCACCAGCACATTTTAGAAACTAGAATCAGGGAATATTTGGCTTTTTTAAATCAATCAACTAATTGAATGGAGAAAAAGGGCACCATTATTCCATGTATTGTCTGACTTTTGTATAGTGGCATATTGTGATGAACCTCTCCATAACATTTCTAATGTAAACAATGTAAATTATAATTTGACTGTTTTTATTTTAAGATTTCTTTTTGTCCTTAGTGGCCAACTCTGCATAAATGGTGATATTGATTATGATGTTATTGTGGTTCTTGTGGTTACTATTACTTCCATTATTAAAATATTATTTGGACCATGTTTCCTCTCATGATGTGCATCTCATAATGACCACATAACTTCACAAAACACAGTGCCTGGAATCTCTTTTCCTTCAACAGAAAGAGGTACAAGTGTGCATCACATACACAACTTATCTGATGTAACGCATAACTAACAAGCAGCCAATCAAAGTACATACGTTTTGTGTTTGTTCACTTCATCATTATTATTATAGTCATGGCCAGTAGAGAGAGCTGTTTTACCAAAGATCAAGAACAGCAAAAAATCAAAAGGCAAAAAAAAATTCCTGAAGCACACCATTCATTTGTACCCTTTCATATGCCTAAATTAGTGCAAACAGATTTGTAGCACTGTTTGCAATAACAAAACCATTCCAGTCAAGTAGTCAGGAAGCGGGTAAATCATTTGTGATTGTATAAATATTATGGGTGGACTTTTATTGCCAAAGTCAGTAATCATCAGTAGCTTTTACATTATGTCCTATTATTCTGATACACTCAATTGTTTAATGGCAATGGTGGATTTGTTAATGAAATAGTGTTCATGATAGCTTATTTTTTGTTTATTTCAAATGTTTATACTCTGAAGAAAAATAAATGAAAACTTGTAGATCTATGTGTATCCTTTCACAATATAATTATATTGGTTTATGCAAATGATTTTGTGAGTCATTATCAGCTTTAAGTTCTTGTTTGATATGATCTAAAAATTAAGTGTGATAGTAAGTGGTATGATAGGAAGAACAGGTCTGGAGGCGGGCCTGTTTGAGGAGGAGCAGGAAGTGGCAGGAGCCCAGCTTGATCCGAGCCTATATGGGATTGAGTTCAGGTGTGAGTCCTTTGCAATACCTGCAGCAAAACCCTGGTCTCTGTTCTGACTACAGCTGTTTGTCTGAGAAAAAATGTGAGTTTCCCCGTACATTTATGTATGCAGGACCTTGATGCTTGAGTTGTTTATGTTAAGTTAATGATGTACATTGTGTTACTCATCATTTATATCGTAGCCTGATATTTACTCTGTATTACATTTTGTGTAAGGTTATAATACATGGGACATATTTTCTGTTGCGATAAAACCAGCCTCCCCTGCCCACCTACCTGTCCATGTCTAGCCCGAGGGGCTACTGTGGCAGGAGGAGTGAGGAGTCCACTGCCTGGAAAATTGACGATTCGATCCCAGTCTCCATCAGTCCGCATGTCGATGTGTCCATGGGCAAGATTCTGAATCCCAAATAGCTACCCAAGGCTGTTCCATCAGCTTGAATGTGTGAATGAGCATTGAGTTTAGATCCTGATGGGCAGGTTGGCACCTTGTGTGGCATCCTATGTCATCAATTTGTGAATGGGTAAATGTTTACATGTAGGTTACAAGGCTATTTTATTGTCATTGTACAACAGGGTGGAAATGCAGATTGCAGTCCCATTTTGCTACACAACAAAACACAAACACACACACAAAAAACCTCTATCATATGTGGCGGGTGAAGGATGTATTAAGGAGTCTCACAGCCAGAGGAAAGCAGCTATTCTGAAGTCTGCTGGTACGGCAGCTGATACCTCTGTATCTCTTGCTAGACGGCAGCAGGGTGAAAAGGTTGTGGCTGGGGTGGGTTCTGTCTTTTAATATAATTAGTGATCTTTGCTCCTCTATACCAATACCACTGAGGCTCAGTTGATGGGTGCCAATAATGTTCTGGGTGGATTTAATGACCCGCTGTAGAGCCCTCCTGTCCTGTGATGTACACATCCCGCCAGTTTGTAATGTTTCCAGTCAGGATGCTTTCTATCACTCCTCTGTAAAAGTAGACAAGTGTTCAACACTAGAGTGGAGGAGGTGCTGGGGTCTGTTTGTGAGGAAGTCTAATTACCAGTTGCAGAGTGAGGTACTCAAGCCCAGAGTGCTAAGTGAAGCCAATCATGAAGCCAATCAGTTTCATGGAGGAGATTGTGTTAAAGGCTGAGCTGAAATCAACAAACAACATTCTGATGTAAGTGTTGTTATTTTCCAGATGAGTGATGGATGAGTGGAGAGCAGTGGAGAAAGCATCCTCTGTGGATCAGTTGGCTCTGTATGAAAACTGGTGAGGATCCAGGCTGGGTGGGAAGTTGTTTCAGATGTGCTGGAGAATCAGTTTCTCAAAGCACTTCATCAGAATGGGGGTGAGTGCCACAGGGCGATAGTTATTCAGACTGGACACTGCAGACTTTTTAGGTACAGGAAAGATGGTGGCTGTCTTGAAGCAGGTGGGAACACTCTCTTGTGGCAGTGTTGAAAAGAAATGATACCTTTCTCAAAGATGTCCAGTTGCTCAAAGGTGAATCCGTGGCAAGTAATGAACCTGTGAAACTTCACAGATTTAAGTCTTTGGGGAGAAACGTGACGTCAGCCACACCAACGCCCACGTCGAGGAGGAACTACAGCGTGCGCGCACCCATTTTTTTATTTATTTTTTATTTAAAAAACTATAAGTGTTGTTGAATTAAAAGTTTTCACAATTGCTAAAACAAAAATGTGTCTTAATTTATATAAAGAACTCCAGTATAGTACTACATTACACTGAGCAGCATCTTGTCAGTGCTGATTTGCATTGACTGAGGACTGTTTCTGTATGTCCTGAAAGTAACAGGCGAGATTACATCTTACAATAGTCTTTCAACATAGTGATATGTCGAAAATGTCAGTGATGACATCAGTTATCTGGTTGGCACATGTTCTTCGTACACAACTATGTTGTCAGGCCCAGCAGCTTTACTCATATTCACTCTCATCAGGTTGTTCTATTGCTTTTGTGATCACCACATCATCAACAGATTGATGACATTTTCCTGGGTGGAGGCAGCCCTGAACATGTGCCAGTCTCAACTTTCAAAACAGTCCTTTAGAGCAGCTGTAGCTTCATCTGTCCACATTTTTTATTTTATTTTTTCTAATGGTGTAGCCAGTTTAATTAGCTGGGTGTATGTAGGCAGCAGGAGCAGGGAAATATGATGCGATTGTACAAAGTGGGGGCGGGGGAGGGCTTTTTTCTGCAACCAGGAATATTTTTGTAAACATGGTCCAGTGCATTGTTTCCTCTGGTGGAGATGTGGACATGCCGGTGGAATTTAGTTAAACAGATCTTAGGTTTGTTTGATTAAAATCACCAGCTATAATGATAATACCATCTGCTTGTTTTGTCATGTGTCTGCGTTTGAGCACCAAGCCGCATTGATGGAACACAGTCCGCCTCCCCTCTTCTTACCAGAGTCTAGTGTTCTGTCGGTGCAGTATACAGTCCGCCAGTCAAGTACAATAGTTGGTTTCGAAAGACTATTAAGAGACTAAGTCTATTCACCATTTACAATAAAAATGAATTGGGCTCTTCCGGTGTCTCATTTAACCTGAGCGCGCATCCAGTACCTGGTAACCTGCATACGTCTTATAGTGTCCTGATTGGGGAATAGTCTGCAGGTAAATTGGTTTGTTAAAATCTGATGTGTATGCTCTTCCTCTATGGGGTCACAAAACAAAAATAACAATACAGGTAAATTATATTGTATGGGATGTTTTATGTCATGGTGTCAGTATATGGTTATCATTAGCAGTAGTAAAGTGATGCCAACTGTTTGTGGAAACATTTTGTAGTTCCTCAAATTTGTATGAGCACGCAAGCGAGCACGCAAGCAAACTGCTGTGACATTGATGGGTGTAGAAACAGGATGGACCAAGACTTGTGCAGCTGCCCTGATTTGAACTAAATAATCTGTCCGGAAAAGATGTAATCTCACCTGTTACTTTCAGGTTTTACAGATACAGTCCTCAGTCAATGCAAATCAGCACCGACAAGATGCTGCTCAGTGTAATGTCAGAATCAGAATCAGCTTTATTGGCCATGTATGCGAACGCAAGGAATTTGACTCCGGTATTCACTTTGCTCTCAACGTTTTAGTCGGCACACACATGTCCTCACAAAAACTGATGTAGGATGTCACAGTGTCAGTGAGCTCATGCAGGTCTGCAGCAGCCTCAGAAACACTCCAATCAGTGCAGACAAAGCTGGACTGTAACTCCAGCTTTGCATCATTGGTCCATCTCCTCACAGTCTTGACCACAGGCTTTGCAGATTTTATTATGACAGTGTAGCAGTGGTCCAGTGTGTTTTTGTCCCTGGTGCATACACTAAATACGTTTTCTGTATTTAGGCAGTTATTTGCTGAGGTTTGCTCTGTTAAAGTCCCCAAGAACAATGAGCAGGGAGTCTGGATGTTTATGCTCCATGTTGGTCTGCTCAGCAGGTGTTGGGATGTGAACACCGACCAGAATGAATGAGGAACACTCCCGCGGTGAATATAATGGTTTACAGTCTATGAAGAGGGTTTCTAAGTGAGGGCTGCATGATTCCTTCAACACTGTGACATCCGTACACCAACCTTCGTTAATATAGAAGCAGATTCCGCCTCCCCTCGTTTTTACCGATAGTGCCGTTCAGAGGAGTTGGAAGCCCAGCAGTGCGCTGTCCGGGATGTGCTCACCAAGCCAGGTTTCGGTGAAACACAGGGCGGCGGGTCTAATGTACAATACTGAAGTTGTTCATATAAATGAAGACACATTTTTGTTTTCTAGCAATTGGGGAAACTTTTAATTGCTCTACACTTATAGTTTCAAATATAAGTCTTTACAAGAGATGTAAATTTAAAAAAAATTAAAAAAATTGGGTGCGTGCAGGCTGTAGACCTAGTTCCTCCTCGACGTGGGCGTTGGCATGACAGACGTCACATTTCTCCCCAAAGACTTAAATGTGTGAGGTTTCACAGGTTCATTACTTCTGTCACGGATTCACCTTTGAGCAACTGGACATCTTTGAGAAAGGTATCATTTCTTCTTAGAATTTTATGTTTTTTTGCGAGATTAAACTAACAAGGTTGTTAAAAGGAAATATGACACTAAAAAAGTCTGATTTGGGGTATTAGACCTCTAACCCTTGATGCAAATCCTAAGATAATAAGGCATTAGAATGAATTGAAGGCGAAACCGCTTCTATCAGAGTGCTTTGTGCTTTTGTGGGTCATTGATGATTTTTTTTTTAAAGAAAACGCAGTTAGTTAAACGAATTGCTTTTGGTCATAAAATATGTTCCTCTTTGAAGTGTGCCTCAATGTTGATTATTCTGGAGCAACGGCCAGTTAATTTTGGTAGAATAATATATAAACAAAATAGCACTTACTGTCAAATGAGGTTCAGGGTCAGAAGTAGCAGAAAGATGACACTTATTGGGTTCAAGGTCTTACAGTTGTAGAAAAGGGAACTGTTTTAGATTTTAGTTTACATCGCAGATAAATTCAATGAGACAGCAGTTTTTCCCAATCTGGTTCTGGTTCGGGCTCTTGGAGAATAAACCAATAACTGCACAGATGCGATATAAAATGTTTTAATTTCAAAGATTTGTTGAATGCTGATTTATTTTAAGATGAATACTTGCATCTTGCTGTTCATTAAATGAGAGACAGGATCAGCAACACGGTATAAAACAGGATTATCTGCATCCGCAAAGGTGGATTTCACACTCAGACAAATGGTGAGCAGAACCCCTGTGGCACACCTTTGGTAAAAGACAAGTATTCAGATTTAGCTGTGCCTTCCTTCTCAGACGTACAATAATGTTTATGAATAATAATGAAATTTTTAAAAAATTGTGTTTTGTCAAAGAGTTGTCTATTGTATCATTATATAATTTCAGACTGTTATTGATAAGGTAAAAAAGGAAAAATGTTTATATTGTTTCTTTATGTTGCCATTGTAGGGCTCAAAACACTGATGAAGATGAATACTACCCCTTCCTATCACATCAGTACAATAGATGTATCTGGAAATAATGGCTCTACATATATTGATGAGTATGCTGAGCTGAGAAAGTCTCTCCACATCATGTCTCTTGTTATTTACTGCCTGGCCTTTGTTCTTGGTGTGCTCGGGAATGGAGTGGTTATCTGGGTGACCGGCTTCAAGATGAAGAAAACAGTTAACACAGTTTGGTTCCTCAACCTCGCCGTGGCCGACTTCCTCTTCACAGCGTTTCTGCCCCTGAGTGTGACCTACACAGCTTTGGATTTCCACTGGCCTTTTGGCAAGTTCATGTGCAAACTGAACAGCACAATAAGCTTTCTGAACATCTTTGCCAGTGTCTACATTCTGGTGGTGATCAGTGTGGACAGATGTGTGTCTGTGGTGTGGCCCATCTGGGCCCAGAACCACCGAAGTGTACGCAAGGCATCCTGTGTGAGTCTGGGTGTGTGGGTGCTGGCTCTGATTCTCAGCACTCCATACTTCGTCTTCAGGGACACTGGGCCATCATATTTCAATGAAGACGTCATCAACTGCTTCAACAACTTTGCTCTTTCTGATGACTACGAAACTCCATCTGTGAATCAGCTGCGACAGTTTCGTCATCAGGCCATGACCATCACCCGCTTCCTGCTGGGATTTGTTGTCCCCTTCACCGTCATTGTCTCCTGTTATGCTGTGATAATCCATCGCATCAGAAGAAACCGCACTCTGGCCAGCCACTCAAGTCGCCCCTTTAAGATCATCGCTGCAGTTATCACTATTTTCTTCCTGTGCTGGGCTCCTTATCACATCATGACTTTAATAGAGATGGTGAATTTCCTACCGGCTTATCGAAGTGTAACATTAAACCATGTCACCACTATTGGAATCCCTATAAGCAGCGGCTTGGCCTTTCTCAACAGTTGCCTGAACCCACTGCTGTACGTGTTCATGGGCCAAGATTTCAAGGATAAAGTCTGCAAATCCATCCTGAATGTTTTGGAGACTGCCTTCCAGGAAGAGGATTCTGGCTCTCACACTGGCACACAGTCTCTGGACACCCATCAGCGCAAAGAGATAATAGTTAATACTGAAGTATAAGGTTTCCCATGATATGAAGAAACCAATTCTGAAACTGTACATGGCAAATAATCTTGACACAAATATAAATGTATATATCAAATTACTTTTTTTGCTTTTTTAGAACCCTCAAGACGAGTTGTAAAGATGCCTTCAGTCTGTACCATAATGGAGCGAAAGGGGATTTCTTGTACAAAAGAACCCAGCAGTGGTTTCACAATAGGTGTTATGATATTTCGTACCATTTGACCATTTCCTTGCCCGTGTGAGACAAAAAAAGAGAACATGCAAACAAGTCCAAGTTGCTTTTATCTCCACCATTTTAGAGTGTAGCTATTCTATTTTTAAATGTTGCTAATTTGGCCTGTATGATTATTGTTGCCGGACAAATTACCCATAAATGTTTATTTATTGTAGTGTATTGAGCACCTGGATGCCATCGATGTACTTGTTGCTTTCCCTGTACTGACTGCTGGCTTGATTAACATTTGTATTTATTGAATTACTGTTAGGACAGGCTAATATAGTTGAATCAAAAATTATGACTTAACTGTCAGACAACACAGAACCAAAGAAAAATGAAATGGTCACTGATTCAATATGTGGGTATGAATATTGTGATGTAGCAACCTGTTTTTAAAAGCTTAATGTATTTGATTAGATGTTTATTTGAATAAAAAATGATTGTTTTTGTAATTTCTCTTGCTATTACGATTTTCTATTGTTAAAATATGATTTGCACTTCACTGTTTTCCCCCTGTGATGTCTAATCACAACATTTTTATAAAAGATTCTGCTTTGAATCAGGATATACTTTTTGTTGTTGATAGTCTTTCTATTATTACAGACTTGCTTCATTGTATTAATTGACCAGCAGAGGGAACTGTTATACATATTTAAGTGGAGGCCTGGGTCAAAAGGAGTTCTCCACACAACATCCAGTAATGTGCTGCAGAGTCAGATGCTTCTCAGACCAAGGACAGCAAACTTCAGAGAGAAATAAAGACTGCAGCACAAAAATGGATTTTTCACCTTCAATTGTGCAAACTGATTTGTTGCACAGTTATAGATATTGTTAATGATCTCAATTGGGTAAATGTTATGATGCATTTGTTTATTTTATTCGTGAAATAGTTTGTACACAACCTCCCCAGTCATTTGTGATTATGTAATATATAATACTAGCTTCCACATCATTATGTATTATTCTGATAATTCAGGCAGCACTTATGATACATGTGTACATTTTTTAGCATAATAGTTTGGATGTAAACATAATACATTATAAACTTTTTTTTCTATCTTCTGCAACCTTTTATAAGATGGTGTGTGCAATCCTGTCATTTTCTATCAATGATAAGGTATTGTTTTATATAATTAAGCTATATTTGGGGGAAATTGACTCCAGTCAACTATAATTGTCAGTGAACTGTGGGTCCGTTTCATCCAGGCCATACACCACAGTAAAGCAATATATTCTATGAGCATGTGTTCAATAAAGCTCTGCATTACATTGTTAGTTAGTTTAAAAATCGGTGTTATAATTCAAAATTTTTTTTTAAAGTTAATTGTGTGGTTTATGGGCACATTTTACTACAGGGTCGGGTGTATTTTGCAACGTCACAAAAACGTCACAAACGTATGCTGCGTGCGTCATGATGTCATAACTGTTACCATTTTAAGATGTTCCGCGAGAAATAGCTCCGGCCTGCAGCAGCAGACAGCCGTCATCTAAAGAGCAGCACCGATGGGTCGCTGCACATGAAGTTCGCCTCATGCTGAGATGTGCCATGATAAGTGGTGAGTTGTGTTTACGTCGAGCTGATTGGCTGAGTCCTACGTGTTTTGTTACACGTGAATAAACGTGCGTTTCTCCCCTTGCTATGTAGCGTTAGCTAGCAGCAGCTAACGTTAGCTATTTCCTGACCACAATATCAGCTTCACGTCCACTTGAAACAATGTGTGCGCTGATCGTACGTGAGCTTTATCTCGTGCAATGAGCCCTCAACCTGTGCGTATTAGTTTAAATTAATCTTAAACTTTGCAAATCAGGCTAGCTGTCTGTCTGAAATAGATCCATGTCTGTGAAGGGTCCAGTCGCCCCCTGGCTGCACACATCGTCTTCTGAACACACTCGGCTGCTCGCGATCATCCTAAAATCATGCACACAGACGGAAAGTCGTCGTGTCTTCGTCTGGAAAAGATCTGTCAAAGCTTTGGAGACTGAACGTAGCTCCAGAACAAATGAGACAGTCTCACCTGTGCGCGTGAGCTTTAGATGTGTTGATGTTGGTAATAACACTGTCCTCATAGCGGATGCGCTCGTGCTTGTTATTTAATCTTGTACAGGTATATATTTCCTTGGCGAGATAAGATGATCTTTTATTGATTTCGGTTGTTTTCAGTGTATACCCCGATCACAATAAGCCCACATCAGAAGTAATGAAGCAATATGTGAATCTATCTGAAAATATAACCTCCACTCAAGCGATTTGTTTGATATTTTGATATCTAATCTGTCATTTGAACCAATTTCTAATGTTTTTATAGTTTGATTTGTCAAAAGACTGGCATGGGCTTAATGGGTATTTAATGTACCTTTTTAAGCTCATGGGAGTTCGAAATAAGTCCACTTAATGATTTGCTGATAAATATATAATAACAATAGAAACGTGTTCTATTCAAACCTGTAATCTCTGAGCTCTCAAAAGCTATTTTAATTTTGTCTCCACTCTAATCCTACGTCCTGTAAATGGCATTTGAAATGGGCGTGACCAGCATTTTAGCTGTGTCGTCACAAAAAAAAAGCCAAACTAACAATCATATCTATAGTGGAAATTACAGGTCTGATACTGATTATGTTACCTGGGCTTTGGGTACCTGCTGATCACGAGTACTAATCTGATACGAGTGTTTAATAACAAGCTGTGTGCCTCACTGTGTGTAAGTGAGATCATTCTTTTTATGTGTATGGCAATGTCAGGCTTGACTTTTAAACATTGCTTTCCTGATAAATAGATACATGAATATTAATTTACTGAATTGTATGTCTTATTAAAGGTATAATATATGTAATTGAGTGCATTAATATAGCAGCAAACAACTATTTGCTATGTAAAGATATAGTGGATAATGTCTACCTGAGCAGATAATGAAGTAGCTCTCTCTCTCTCTCTCTCTCTCTCTCTCTCTCTCTCTCTCTCTCTCTGTGTGTGTTGCAATCCCAGCTTGTTCTTACTTTGTTGAAATAGCCTTGGTGTTGGTGCATGTGAGCCAGCAACTTTGTAAAAACTAATTAAAAATCAACAGGAGTTATAATTCCAGTATATAATGTAGGACTCCAAATAGTGATTATTTTCATTATTTATTTCGCTGCCGATTACTTTCTTACTTAATCGTTTGGTCTACGAAATGTCAGAATAGTCCATCAATTTTTTGTTGCTCGACTAATTGATTAGTAACTTGATTTAATTTAAAATGTTCACTTCATATCACACGTTACTTTGCACTTATATATATTCTTTATCATAAACGGTCAAACCAGCAGTGTTATTTGTGCTGGTACAAGCGTCTCGTACAAGCGTCTCTGTCACTCCGCCGCAGTCCAAATATGGTCACTTTCGTTCACTGGTTGCAAAACCTCAAGATTACGACAACCGTAATCCAAGATGGCGACGGCCAAACACAAGGCTTTATAATGGCAGCCCACAAACCAATGGGTGACGTCACGACGACCACGTTCACTTCTTATATGCAGTCTATGGGTTAAACCTGCACTGGCAGTCAATCTGCCAGTGGGTGGGGGGGGGGGACCGTGGCTCACTGGCTCACTGGGTTAAGAGGGTTGTCTGGTAATCGACAGTTCAAACCTTGGCTGGGACGTGTCATGTGTCGAAATGTCCCTGAGCAAGACACTGAACCCCTAACGGCTCCCCGGGTGCCTGTCGTAGGCAGCTCACTGCTCCCTATATACAGGGATGGGTCAAATGCTGAGACAAATTTCCCCCTTACCAGGATAAATATAGTATAAAAAATTCAGAATTAGTTAATGTGGCATCCAACTTGGATTATTTGAAATTAATGCAAAGTAATACTGCAGTCATCAGGCATATATTTAGATATTTTATTCGACAAATTTTGTCTTCAGTGGTTTGTTAATTCTTGTTTTTATCCCCCCAGGTGATGATACAAAATGAAAAACCTAGCAGAGGGATGACCGTTCTCGCAAGGAAATTTTTTGAGAACCAGTCTGTTGGAAGAGTGGACATACCGATTCTCACATGGAAGCCAATTGTGTGGTTGTCTGGATATATTTTTACTAATACTGCAGATTGAAAAAGTGATGCCATCAGCACATCGCCAATATATATTAGTCATGGAAAATCAGAAATCAGTGAACATTATTGCTTCAACGCAGTTGAGTGGAGAATCGAGTACCTTCATCTGCACTGAATGTGGTGATGGGTTCAGTCAGTACTCTAATGTGTTGGCCCACATGGCTATTCATGGACCTTTGGAGTCATTTTCCTTGGATGGCTCATCAAATGGATTTGAAGTCCCCCGAGAATATGTGCTACAAGAAAATGGTACACTGACAGTTGTGAATGGTTTCGAGACACATTCTTCTGTAAAACCAGTATCTCCTGGAGTCCTGCCATCGCATTTCCCACCCCCCATCAAACCAGTGTCTCCAACCATCAGGCCACAGCCTTCTCCTTATAGAGATGTGTTCAGGCCAAGGCCATCAGACTCAAACTTGGACAAGTCTCGTCAGGGCCATTACCGTTGTGAAATATGTAGCAGATCATTCAACAGCCTACAGAGTTTACATCGTCACCAGCAGTATCGAAACACAGAGCGAGGTTACAAGTGCACTCTGTGCTGTAAGATCTTTGAAGGTCGACAGGACCTTAAGAAACACCTCCAAGACCATGCCAATGAAAGGTTTCACTGCTGTAGTCATTGTGGTAAGCGATTCCTTAAAGTGGATGCACTTAATGCTCATCAAAAAGAAAATCACCTCGTCCCCAAGACTTTAGTTTTGAATAGGCAGGAAAAGAAGAACGAGAAAACATATGCTTGCAGAAAGTGCAAGTGCAATTTTTTCTGGATGTCAGACTTTCAGACGCATGCACTGCACCACTGCAAAGGAAAAGGGCCGGATGCTACTTTGGCATCCGAAATCGAAATTGAGGTGAACTCTAAGAACATAGACGTACCTCTTCAAAGCTGCTACAGTAATGGTACATCTATTGATGTTAAGAACATTGGTAGTAAAATCTTAAAGGATACTAGTGATGAGATCAATACTGAATTGTCTTCCACACCATACAGATGTGGTTTATGTGGGGATCGTTTCCAAAAATTAACCGCTCTGAAGGAGCATCATCTCACACATCAAACTCAGGAGGAAATAGATCAGCTGACTCAAGAATCACAAAAAACCTTTAAACGAAGAATGCCACCTAAAGGCAGACGTAGAAGGGCGAGTAATCCAAATGGCAAACTGCATCCTTGCAAGCACTGTCATCGCGTCTTTAATCATTCCAGTAGTTTATCCCGGCACATGAGATACCACAAGGGTACTATGCACACATGTGTATTTTGTGGTAGACATTTTCCACAGCGCTGTGATTTGAGAAGGCATATAGCCATGTACCACAAAACTGAACAGGAAAAGAAACCAGGTCCGAAACACTTATTCACAAATCCACAAGATGGTCCTGCGCCTATTCTTAATGGCGACAAAAACTTAAGCTCTCCTGATGAGATAACCAAGAGCTCCTCTGACAATGAACAAACGGCATCACCAGAGCAACATCCAAAGGGGAAACAATCGGGCAAAGCGGGCCGAGTTAACTACAAGTGTCAGGAATGTGGAAAGAGATTTGGCCTGTTATGTGTGTACCAACGCCACTTGCGCTATCATAAAAAGGAACCTAGTAAGTGTCCGAGGTGTCCTGCTCAATTCAAGAACCATTCATCCCTGGAGCTTCACCTTCAAAATCATCCGAGCATTGGAGAAGCTGATGATGTTGGACAAACCTCTCACAGCACTGGTTCCAGTAGGGACCCTGTCTTAGAGAAGGGTAATGCAGAGGACATAGAGGATGACTTCATGGACCATACTGAAAATGATAAAGGAAATTCTTCAGAGGTTCTCTATGAATGCACTGAGTGCACTGAGACATTCTTATGCTTGGACACGTTTCTTCAGCACCAGACTTCTCATGGCTCCGAAAACAACGGGTAACTATCCTGTCAGACCCACTTGTTATTGCCAACAATCAAGCATCCAGTAGTTGAGTGTTTTTGACTCTCAGTAGTAATGCAACTATTTTAATAACTGTATATCGATGTAAAGTTTATAACGTTTCTTTTTGAATAACTACTTTTATACACACTTTTTCCTTTTGGCATGAAGAGAAGAGTTCTGTTTATTATTGAATTTCAGAAACCAATGGGAATCAGGAGACAAGGCTTGGATGGGGAGCATACCAAATTCATTTTGTATTAAAATAATAAAAACAAAATGTTTGACATCGGTTAATTGCAAACCTAGTATTCTCCCACACGGTTCAGGTACAGTTAACTGTCCCACCAATTGTTGACTAGCAAGGATGAACATGAGGCTTCTCATTGTATTTTTAGTGGCTACCAATGCTGTTATTGTCAATCATGTTACTACATTTTCCATGTTTTACTTCCAATTTTTGTGATTTTGATATTGTCTGTAATAAGTGGTATGTGTATGTCTTCCTTTTGAAAGGGTAGCATTGTCACGGAGTGGATTTTTTATTGTGCCATTAAAGTTGTACAGAGAAATTATTTTATGTGCCATCAGTTTTGCTTTGACTCCCTTTTCACGGTTATCCGTCTATAAGAAAACCCCACTGGCTAAATAATTTAGTTCCCTTCTACATACTATGAAGGTGTGTTATTTCTCATTTTTTATTGTGTTGTACAGCAGACTAATGGCAACTGCACAGAGAGAAATCATTGTGTGGGTTGTGGATCAGAAATGTTGGGACATGCATCAGCCACTCGATTTTTAAAATTCTTGACAAGGTTCTTGTGATTTTGTGACACTTCAAAAAAATGGTTCAGAAGAAACTATTAATGTGATTGGTTCTCATGGCCTCTATCGAAAATATCTTCGGTGACTCCTACCTAGTACTAGTATCAAAAGACACTGTGGTAGGCAGCAATGCACACTGCTATCCTGAGTCCATAAGGTCCTAAACTGTTTAACTAAAAAGGTAATGTCCATAGCAGCTTTGTGAGCATAGTGTATCCAATTACAAGCAAGATGGTGATACCTAAGGACTACGGCAAAGGAGACTACACATGTTGCATTATCTTCAAAGCAGTACAGCTTACTTTGCGTGCCCTTTCTACTTAATGCCTAGAGTCAACCTTATGCCGTATCATCTTAACTTTTTAATGGCGCATTCTGTACTCCTGAATTGTTTTAAGTTTAATGACATCTCTTATTATACTGCTCTTGCCAAATTACTAATGTAGTAACAACCATGCATCACAGCAATGTTGTCCATTTTAGATATAGTAATAGCTTATCCTTGGCAACATAGCGCTAGCCTCCGCAGATGGTCTGCGAGCATTCACAAAAATTTTTGTGTGTTGCATTATTGTCCAAAACGCCAGAGGGTATAGCATAAGGACGAGTGTAAACAGCAAAATGCCATAAACAAACCTCCACAATGCCGAGAAGGGGTTGTAATTCATTGTAAACTCATATCTCATATCCACTACTTGATTGCATTTATAGAAGCCAGTTGCGGAGCCTTCACGCTGTGATTCCGTCATTTTCTGGCGTGCGCCTCGAAACCAGCTTCACTACGGTGACCATTAACTACGCTTTAGTCCTTGTGGCCAACGAAAGTACTGCAATCTTCTACTATGGCCAAAAAAACATTCTTCTCATAGGCTAGCCATTGTTGAAACACCTGTTAATGAAAAACATTTACTTTGCTTCAGTATTTCGTGAATCTGAAATAATGCAGACATACTGGTTCTGTAACTTTTAGTGGAACATACTCAATATAGAGGACTGAGTGGGTGTGTGCCCTAGTTCTCTGACAAGTGTGTAGAAGCCCGAATGCTTGGCATGTGGTATTGCTGCTTGCAGCTTTCTTAAGAACAGCTCATACTAAAAACGTAACTCTTAACATTGAGTTTCCTTGGGTCCTGAGCGAATCCACTTCCCAGCCCAAAGTTGCGTCACGTACCCGAGTCTCAGCTACTCATGGTCAGAAACACTGGTGAACACAGGTGCAGACTTTATCATAAGGTTAGATAGGCAACTGCATGGGGCCCTCAACTAAAGGGGCCGCAAACAGCTATTGATAAATTATGTTTGGCCTAGATATAACAAATATTGAATTATGTTATTATTCTAACTCTTTGTACCCTTAAATAACTTACAACAGACTCCCTAAGCACTTACACAATATGCAACTCAACTTACTTACTCACTGTGTACTTCTGCTTCAGAGAACAAATTTGCCAGTACTACTGCATTTACCTGACAGAAAAATGTTACTGGTTACGTTGCAGATTCTGACTTTAGTCACAAAATAAAACTATTATAATGTGGTTATGATGATCATTAATCATTAAAATAAAATATATTAGAATTGAAAGCTTCACCTCGACAGACGTTAAGTAAATGCAAGTACATTGTGCTAGTGCCTCTCTTTCACACTACACTTCAAGAAAAATGAATGCAGGTCTTTTACTGTGTGGGATTAATAGTTTTGTGTTGTGTGGTGACCCCCAAGTAGTTAGGGCGCACATGGGTTCAAATGCCCTGAGCAGTGAGTCCCTGTTTCGATTTCAAGCTGGCCGGACCATTTGCTGCATGACATTCCCCTACTCATGCTCCCCACATTTCTGGGCTCTCCACTGTCAATTTAAGGCATAAAATGCCAAAATAAAATATATTGATTAAAAAACCTACCACTACCACTCTGAATATAAACATTCCCATTTAGAGAAAGGGTGAAACACAAAGTCCTCAAATCACTAAATCCGCCCCTGTAAGTTGTGGCTACTCGCGGTCAGAAACACAGGTGAAATGCACATAGTGGGGCTATTAATTACCAAATATGCGTATTAGTTTCTTCCTTTCACATAACCACAGTATAACATGGATTTAATTAGCTGAGTAACTAGTGGTGTAAATTAGTATGACAAACAATATGAGTTGCTGTTCCAGTAGGCTGTCGCTCTTTGACTCTAGGGACGAGAAAAAGAGTTCGGTTGTAACATTAGTGTACCCAGCGTCCAGCAGCAAAAGTGAACTACAGTCACAGCCTGTAAATGCCTGTTGTGGACAACAGTCAGTCCGTAGAGCCCTGAAGCACCGCCCCCGCTGCTGCACCATTCACTTGTTTAATCAAAGTTTATGAATATAGAATAAACAATACACCTGCATGGTGTGAAGTAGATCAGATGGACAGTTCATAAGATATGCGCAGGACACACACATACGTACAGACAGACTGAGATTCCTTGCTTAATAGTTTGAGCTGGAAGAGTTATGTACTAGCGTACTATTTGGGCACTGAGCAATACATTTATTTTGAGCCAAAAACATGTAGTAGTGTTTGAAGTCCTTCTCCTGGGACCATGCAGTTATGCAACCAAACTTTTCCAGTCTTCTGCAAACCTTGATTTACTATCTTTACCTATCTATGAGAGAGACATCCTGCATCGACTCTGCAACCCTTATGATTCTGCTTAGCACAAGCAGTCTTGAAACTATAGGTGAGGTGAAATACTTTGTATCAACGCGATTCCTGATGCAATTGACCTTTTGCTAAGCAACGCAACCTGCTGCTACGCCATCATGCTGTCAGCTACCATGGAGCCCACACTGTCAATAACTGCACTCCCTGTATCTAATTTTTGGTAATACTAAAAAGCAATTTGATAGAGAAGCAGACAGAAAGGTTTGCGTTTGAAGGATATGGCCAGGATATCAAACTGATTCGGCAGCAAAAACGTGTTAAAAAGAGAAAGATAGAAGCTAAAGCCCACAGATCACAAGTGAACCACCAACTGTCGATCGAGTCAGAGAACAATGAAATTAAGTAAAAATACTGTATATACGTATCTCCTTCCAACTTCTGCGGGTACTGAGAATCACTATTAGATGTGCTTCAAGCACAACATTTAACCGTGACTTGCTTGAAATCCACAAAACTAGACTGAAAATAAAGAAAATCTGAAAAGATTGCTTGAGAGTCTATTGAGCACACCTGGCTAGTTATAGGACCCTAGTCAGAGCTGGTCAATGCTACTCTTATGATTGGTCAGTCTGCTTTCGAGGGGCAGGACGTAGCCATTGGTCACTTGCATATCAGCAAGGAAGGTATAATTAATGCCTTGTGAGCACTGCCTTTTATTCCTGGCATAAAAGCTAATATTACAAGAACTGCCCAATCTCAGAACCCATCAGCTATCGGTCTGACGACTAGCCTCTGGGGGCAAGGACTTGTATTTCTGGGGTTCTGGTGTAGCCAGTGGTTATTTGGACCAAGACTTCTTTTTCCGTGGGAGATGACCTGTACGACTGGATTGTTTCACATGTGGGCAGTTTACAATCCAATTTTAAACCAATATAAAGCAAAATCGTCAGATGATAGCCACTGGGTTCCAAGATTGCATTTAAGCCAATGCGTTTTGCCTCTTTTGCTCTTCAAATGGACGGTATACTTGAGTTCAACCAAAGCCTGCTCAAACGTGATTGGTCAATAATGCAACGGAAACCAGAACCCTTCAGATACCAAAATCTTGTCCAGATGCCGCAGCATACGAATGCCGATTGTCTTTATGGAGACATAGATCACAATGTGTATAGATACAATAGATCACATTACATATTCTTTCCCGATGGCAACATGCACTGTGATCACTTTTGGCCTCCTTTAATGAAAACATTCATTAGAATTGTCTCCGATACCTTTCTGTTTGCTCTATATAATGTAACCATCTGCTGATTCAAAGGGAACATTTCTTTCCTCCAGGGGGCAGGCTAGTATGGTTTTGTTTTGTTTTTTGTTTCGGTTTGCTCTTTGTTTGGTCTTTCTTGCCCTTAATGATTTGCCGCATCCGCTCAGACATCAGCATACTCAGCTGCTGCAAAGCCAGGCGTCCATCCTTGTTCTATATTATGTAGCACATCTGACAGTTTTCAAAACACCCTGAGAGGATTTATGCCTTGTCATACCCTACAATTGATGGACAGAAGAACATACATATGTCCCTTTCTTCATATGGGCAGCCAACAGCAATGGCCTAAATGGCCTTGGGTTAAACAGGGAAATTCAACTGTTTACTTGGTAAATAACTTGTTCTTCTTAACAAGCCAAGAAAACAGACACACCAGACAAAGTTCAGGTCAATAAATGATCTAAAGGCCCTGATATACTCCAAAACAAACGCAGACAGCAGACATTCAAGGGGTTCTGTATGCTAATGTGTCTGCACAGGCAGACTTGATCAAAGGCAGTACAATCAGCGTGGTCATAAGCACATGAACTAATGGGGGAACCGCCCCTTTTAGGTGACCCAAGCAAGTCCATTTGGTCCATTATAGCTTTCCCCATAATTCCCTGTGTGTCACTGGTGTCTGTGTTCAGGAATTTACCATTCACTTTTGGCAATGGGTTTTTGACCTCTACACAAAGGTCCCTGCATGACAATACCTGTAACCACTGTAGTCTGACATCCCTAAATGTTATCAGTCTTGTCTTGTATGGTCAGTCACCTTTTAAATACATGGTGTGTTCCCGTTACCAGAAAACATTCCACCCTTGTCTGCAATTCTCACATACACAAACATACCTCTTATGAAATATTTGCCTTGTCTTAGGTAAATCAGCAAAATGGCACATTCTAATTTACTAGAATACATTAACCAATTCAAGTGTCCTTGTCCAGATCAGTAATTTTGGTTGACTCCTAAATACAGTGTGTATACACCATGTGCCTCCTCCAATGCACTTGTTACTACTGGATGCTAAACCCATAGACTGTGTATAACTCTAGACCAGCTCTATATCTCCTCCAAATCCATCCCCCCCAAATCCATCCCCCCCACCACCCACACCACAATCACCAACTGCCTCACAGATATAAATACATGGATGCAAGCAAACTTTCTCAAACTCAACAGGGACAAATCTGAAATCCTCATCATGGGCCCCAAATTCCAACACAACTTCTCCCTCTGCATCGATGGCACCACTGTTCCTGCTTCCACACATATCTGTAAACTTGGTATAATTTTTAACAAACCCTCTCCTTTGAACGCCACGTCAATCACATCACAAAAAATGCCTTCTTTCATATCAAAAACATTGCCCGTCTACACTTTAACACTAATCCATGCCTTCATCACCTCTCGACTCAGCCCAGCCGCAGCCGCGGCCTGCAGCCATGCTCGACTGGACTACTGCTACAGCATCCTGTACGGCCAAAATCATCAACAAACTACAATACATCCAGAACGCCTGGCTATCAGCAGATCATAGAGCTGATTGGTTCTTAGATTTGACAACAAGCACCATGTTCTGTAGAAAATCCAAATTTTCTGCGTAATTGTAATATTTAACGCTCGATTGTTGGCTATTAGTCTCATGTTGAACAACGAAGGTTTAATCTAAAAACATGTCGTGTGATTGATAATAATAACTTTATACAACACATATAAAAACGAGCATCAAAGTGTTTCAAAGGCAGACATAAAAAGAACATAGGATAGAATACAATGCAGATACAAGCACATTTCTACATAAATATATATTTACAAACACGCATGAATAAATCCGAATGAGGTCTGTAAACTACAAGTGGATCAGATTTAAATGGATGTAACTGTTTCTTTGACTTCCTGTTTTTTCTTTGAAGGCGGCTGAAAACCGCCTGCTCTCGTCCACTTGGTGAGAGAAAAGTCAAAAAAACAGAAAGAAAACAGTCATGGGTGACTAAACGACCATCTGAGGGCCACTTATGGGATTTCTGACTTTGTCGAGTACATGGTTCTGTTATTGGCAGATCCACTCTTTGGGTTCAATATCCCCTGCAAAAAATGCACTGGGCTGAATAATCAAGAACAAAGTGGACAAAAGCACTTTGTTTGGGTTATGATTACATAATGCACTTACATGATCATCAAAAAACGTGACTTTCCAATGTTACCAATGGATGTATCAAAAGAAATCTGCGTTCCAAGAAGGTGCCCCATTCATTCTTCTGAAAGTTGCACACTGGGTGTATACACCAAAAAATTGTCTAGGGCCTTAGAGCATTTTTTTTGCGTGCATGGAGGTGCTTTGAAATGCAATTCCAATTGGATTTATGCAGATGCTTCTCAGTCGGGTGGCTCTGCCGGCTTAAATTGTATTTCAAAGTGTGGAAGTGCTGAAGAATCCATGCTGCTTCTAGCTGAGAGCTATGGAGGACAACATAGAGGAGAACAACCGTCAGGGGACAGGGGCAATGAAATACATTGTCTGCTGGCACTTTCAGTTCCCCTCTGCAGCTTCCCGCCAATCACCAGCCTCTTCCGTTTCTATATTTGTCTGGTGCAATGGAGGAGTTCTGCACCATGACTTGACAGCGTGAGAGGGTGAATGGTTCAACGCTGAAAAGCTGCATTACCAACGTAGCTATGTAGTCACTAAGGCCTAAGTCGTTAGCACAGTAACCCTTGCAGATTGTTTGCTGATATCTGGACACACAAATCGGATCTGATCACTTGTAAATAACAGTGGGGACAGTCTGTCTTAAAGATTTTATTTCAGATACAAATTGATTTGTCTGCAGTCTGGATGTAGACTTTTACTTGCATGCATTCTGGTAAGGATTAGAAGGGAAACCTAATATTTGAAGTTCTGGGCGTAAGGCGTCAGTATGCTTGTCAGATGTCAGAATACCCCCCCTTTGTAACTTTCACAACTATACCCTAAGGACGTTTAACACAGGACAAGGTTTGCGCTGCACTCACCGCTGGGTTCAGAGCATATTGCGGCACGCTTCGGTTGCCAAAAAGCCGCCGAGGAGCCGTGCAAGCCATTACAAATAATGGATTTCGAAGGATATTGGTGCTGTTGTCTGTAGTGCAAGGGTCAGAGAGGCGGAATTCAAACTTCAAACTAGTTTTTCGGATACCCCTGCCTTAAACATCTGACATTGTAGAGACCACTTCTTACAGTACTTTTGGTGACATATGGGAGGTGCCTAATGCTGCCACAGTTGAGGGTTATTCACTTGTTTGGTTTATAGGCCAGGGGCAGTACTGCATTGTAGGGAGAGGGCTTATTAGGACTTTTGAAATGTAGGGGTTTCCTTCTCTATCCCAACTCAGCATGTTACAGCCAGTTTGATTTGAACTAGTAACCTCCGAGCCACAATCACAGCCTTCTGATAGATGGCTTTAGGTGGGGTAAGGGTAAAGTGTAGTGTTTCTACCATTTTTGGGGGTTGCAGGCAACTGTACCGCTTGGAGAATATGGATCTTAACTTCAGTGCTTGATTTTGGAAAAAAAATAATACCCAACAATTAAGTCATTCAGTTACACAGAAAAATATATAGGGAGTAGTACCATTCAGACCCGTTGTTATTGCAGACTGCCACAATCAGTGGGTGGCAGGTTTAGCGGTAGAAAGCTGGTCCATATTAATTTTCATAATTTCATTGTACACACTCAAATATATTCAGTGACGTAAGATCAATTGCTCGGTGATCTGCACATTCTAAGGTAAAAGCAAAGTAAACCAGATGGGTGCAATAACACAGCAGGAGAAATTGTCTGGTCACAGAATGACATATTCAGAGGGTCCTGTTCAGCTGTAAGATACAAATGTAGTTTTGGAGTTTTTTTTCTTCTTCTCAAGAGCAATGAGTTTTCTTCCTCCATGGTAAGTGGTTCTTATGTGCAACCAGCCAAAGGTTTTTTTTGTCAGACCAGAACAAGAACAGGTGGCGCCATTTTACTGCACGCCTTGAACACAAAATGGTGGTACGCAACTTAACCCTTTAAAGACCAACTACATCTAGTCCAGCAGACCAGTATGCATGTCAGATTGGTGGATTCCCCACTAACGTTGACCATACTCATGTATCACAAACTAAGTGGTGCCGAAACTGCACAGGGGAGCGCTGAAGCCCCACTTAGGACTTCTCTGATCAGTGCACATTACTGTCGGAGCAAGTAGTCCTGCCTGTTACAGGGGCAGCTGCAGCAGCAAGAAGGGAACCGTGGCGCGGTCGCCCGGAAGGAGTCGTGCTGCTACCCCGACCGTCTCTGGCTGTGTCAGCCATAGAACACGCAGGGGCGGGCTCTCGCGGAGTACCCGCACCTTGTTATTGGTTGTGACCAGACCGTTGTGTAAGGTACGCACATTTTCGGGCACATTGTCTGAAAATTGCGCAAATACAAGATAATGGAGGCGGATTTGGCTCTAACGCTGCTACGCGGGGCACAACAAGCCGTGTAACCCACGTCGTTTTCCGGGGGAAACACTTTTTTTTGGGGGGGGGGGGGGGGATTGAACGATCCTCATCGTCTCACTCTCCAGAAAGAAAGAAAAAAAGATCTTCTCCTCACGATATTTCGCCAGTAAAGACGGAAGCCATCTGCAAGGAGGACAGGGGCTTTCTTCGTGTCCTGACAAAAGAAAGACGACACGTACTGTCTTTGGAAGTGATTACTTTAACACGAAGCCACGAAGGAATTGGTGGTGAAGAGCAACACGGGAGATCTGGTAAGAGGTCCTGCTAAAGACCAGCTGCAGAGGAGTCGTTCACGTTAGCTGCACGTTATCAGTGCTAGGTAGCATGGTGCTAGCTAGTTAGCTTCACCCAGAACATCAATCAGCGTCAGTGCGTGGCTAGAGTCGCAGACCTAACCGCTGCTGAGGTTGTTTGTGTTTTTGTTGAGCCGATTGCACCTTTACCGTTTCCTTTTGTGTGTGCTGTCCTCCGTCCAGGCTGTGGCTTAAAGTGCAGCATCTTACAATGTCACGACCAAGACGAGAGCAGCACAGAGCTTCCTCAGAACTACAACATGGGGGGGGGGGGGGATTAAAATGCTCCTCTCTGTCCATAGCGTCACCGAGAATATAACCGGTTTGTCTGGAAAAGTTTTGGTAATATTTGAACACTTGCTGGTTATCTTTTATAAGTCCATGGAGTGTGGCAGCTCTGTTGACCTGTGGCTTAATTGCTCTAAAAGGGTTTATCAAATGCTCTTGTGAACTCTTCAGCAACAAAGTCGTCACCCTTAAGTATATTATGTATGATCTGTCCTATAATCTGACCCAAATATATTTTACATAAATAGTTTTAATCTCGGATGATGCATTTCTCATATCAATTCACTAGTCCTCTGGCAGGGTTGTAGTTGAAGGTGCTGATGGATGGGTACACCATTTATCCTAGTGTATGCACCTGAGGTCTGCTTTCCAGGTAAAGAGGGACACCATGTTGGAAGAGTGCAAAATCCCCCCCCCCCCCTTTTTTTTTTTTGGGATAGTCTCTGACTAGCCTCAGCCATTCTGTCACATAGTGTTTCCTTAACATATCTGTAATACAAAACCAGGTAAAAGGGATTTATCTGTCTGTAAACTGAGATAAACAAGCGTCTACAACAAATTCATCATGAACAACATTATTCTATGGTCCCATGGCAAGAGAAGCTCCATCAAACCAGACACACTCCCTGGGTACTTTACCAAGTTAACCTACTCTAATGCACCACTCTGCCACATATTCTACCTTTATAACCTTTATATATACGGCCACTTTTTGTTCAAACAGAGCGGTGTAGAGAACTATATGTCTTACTGTGTTGTTAATGTGTTACTTTACCGAGGTCGTAGTTAGTTATCGTGTTCCACTGGACCGCATTATATTAAAGTGTCCCCTCGTGTTTTTAACTTGGGTGGGAAAAACACAAGTCCAGTTCAACAGCACTGCAAACTAAAACCACAACAACAAACACATAGTTATTATCACCTCTCTGACCGTTTCAATCAAAACAGAACATCAATGTCTTTGTACAAATAATGAATTGACAACCATTATTCTCAGATATGGATTTAAAAAAAAAAA